CATTTAAGATCATTGGTCATTTATTTGTTGTCATAAATGTTCGTGGTAGGCTTGAATTAATGAAATCGATGCAAGTTGTAAACCGGTAAATTGTTAATTTAGAGGAAAACTGGATGGTTCGACCCACCCAATGGGACTCCCGGACAGTATTAGGGATCATGGGAAACATTTCTGCAAATTTTATTTCCTGGCGAAAAAAGTCAAAATTTTAAAAATTGAAGGCTAATATCCACGCTTTTGAGAAATTTTTGAAGATTCGGGGCCCGGTGTTGAAAAGTCTTCAAATTTTATGGGATATATCTAGGGGTCATATAATTTCGTTTGGAACCATTTATGATCATTATATGTTGTCATAAACGTTCGTAGTATGGTTGAGTTAATTAAATCCGTACAAGTTGTAAACCGGTAAATTGGCCGTTTAAATGCAAAATGGATGGTTCCATCAACACATTTAGACTCCCGGTGGATATTAGGGACCATGGTAAAAATTTAAGCAAATTATATTTTAGAGAAATTGAAGGCTAATATCCACGCTTTTTGAGAAATTTTAGAGGTTTCGGGGCCTGGTGTCGAAAAGATTTGAAATTCTAGGGGATACAGTTAGGGGTCAAATAATGTCGTTGGAACCATATATAATTATTATTTGTTGTTATAAATGTTCGTTGTAGGCTTTAATTAATGAAAACGGTGCAAGTTGTAGACCGATAAATTGGTCGTTTAAAGGCAAATTGGATGGTTTCACCGACCCAATGGGACTCCCGGACGGTATTAGGGATCATGGGAAACATTTCGGAAATATTTATTTCTGGGCAAAAAAAAGTCAAAATTTTCAAAATTGAAGGCTAATATTCACGCTTTTTGAGAAATTTTTGAGGATTTAGGCCCGATGTCGAAAAGTCTTGAATTCGAGGAGATAAATATCGGGGTGATATAATGTCGTTTGGAACCATTTATGATCAATATTTGTTGTCATAAATGTTTGTGGTAGGCTTGAATTAATGGAATCGCTGCAAGTTGTAAACCGCTAAATTTGTCATATAAAGGAAAATTGGATGGTTCCACCCACCCAATGGCACTCTCAGACGGTATTAGGGATCATGGGAAACATTTCTGAAATTTTTATTTCAAGGCGAAAAAAAGTCCAAAATTTAAAAATTGAAAGCTAATATCCACGTTTTTGAGAAATTTAGGAAGATTCGGGGCCCGGTGTCGAAAAGTCTTGAAATTTTAGGGGATATATCTCGGGGTCATATAATGCCATTTGGAACAATTTATGATCATTATATGTTGTCATAAATGTTCGTAGTATGCTTGAGTTAATGAAATCCGTGAAAGTTGTAAACCGGTAATTGGCTATTTAAATGAAAATTGGATGGTTCCACCAACCCAATTGGACTCCCGGAGGGAATTAGGGACTATTGTAAACATTTAGGCAATTTTTATTTCCTAGCGAAAAAGGCAAAAAAAATCCAAAATTGAAGACTAATATCAACACTTTTTGAGAAATTTTGGAGGTTTCAGGGTCCGGTGTCGAAAAGTCTTAAAACTCTTAGGGATACATCTTGTGGTCAAATAATGCCGTTTGGAACTATACATGATTATTATTTGTTGTCATAAATGTTTTGTGGTAGGCTTGAAGTAATGAAATGATGCGGGTTGTAAACCGCTAAATTGGACTTTTAAAGGCAAATTGGATGGCTCCACCCACCCAATGGGACTCCCGCACGGTATTAGGTATCATTAGAAACATTTCGGCAATTTATATTTTCGTGCAAAAAAAAGTCAAAAATTTCAAAATTGAAGGCTCATATCCACACTTTTTGAGAAATTTTAGAGGATTCGGGGCCCGGTGTCGAAAATTCTTGAAATTCTAGGGGATACACCTCCGGGTCATATAATGTCGTTTGGAAACATTTACGATCATTATTTGTTGTCATAAAGTTTCGTGGTAGACTTGAATTAATGAAATCGGTGCAAGTTATAAACCGGTAAATTGGTCGTTTAAAGGCAAATTGGATGGTTCCACCCACACAATGGGACTCCCAAACGATATTAGAGATCATGGGAAAGATTTCGATAATTTTTATTTCTGGGCGAAAAAAGTCAAAATTTTCAAAACTTAAGGCTAATATCAACGCTTTTTTGAGAAATTTTGGAGGATTTGGGCCCGGTGTCGAAAAGTCTTGAAATTATAGGGGATACATCTCGGGGTCATATAATGTCGTTGGAACCATATATAATAGTTATTTGTTTTTATAAATGTTCGTGGTAGACTTTAATTAATGAAAACGGTGCAAGTTGTAAACCGGTAAATTGGTCGTTTAAGGGCAAATTGGATGGTTCCACCCACCCAATGGGACTCCCGAACGGTATTAGGGATCATGGGAAAGATTTCGGCAATTTTTATTTCTGGGCGAAAAAAAAGACAAAATTTTCAAAATTGAAGGCTAATATCTACGCTTTTTGAGAAATTTTGGAGGATTCGGGCCCGGTGTCGAAAAGTCTTGAAATTATAGGGGATACATCTCGGGGTCATATAATGCCGTTGGAACCATATATAATCGTTATTTGTTTTTATAAATGTTCATGGTAGGCTTTAAATAATGAAAACGGTGCAAGTTTTAAACCGGTAAATTGGTCGTTTAAAGGCAAATGGGATGGTTCCACCCACCCAATGGGACTCCCGGGCGGTATTAGGGATCATGGGAAACATTTCGGAAATTTTTATTTCTGGGCGAAAAAAGTCAAAATTTTCAAAATTTCTCAAAAGCGTGGATAAAAATTTCCCATGATCATTATATGTTGTCATAAATGTTCGTAGTATGCTTGAGTCAATGAAATCCGTGCAAGTTATAAACCGGTAAGTTGGCTATTTAAATGCAAATTGGATGGTTCCACCAACCCAATTGGACTCTCGGAGGGTATTAGGGACCATTGTAAATATTTAGGCAGTTTTTATTTCCTAGCGAAAAAGGCAAAAAAATCCAAAATTGAAGACTGAAATCCACGCTTTTTGAGAAATTTTGGAGGTTTCGGGTTCCGGTGTCGAAAAGTCTTGAAACTTTTGGGGATACATATCAGGGTTATATAATGCCGTTTGGAACCATATATGATCATTATTTCTTGTCATAAATGTTTGTGGTAGGCTTGAATTAATGAAATCGATGTAGGTTGTAAACCGCTAAATTGGACTTTTAAAGGCAAATTGAATGGCTCAACCCACCCAATGGGACTCCCGGGCGATATTATGGATCATGGGAAACATTTAGGCAATTTATATTTTCGTCCAAAAAAAAGTCAAAAATTTCAAAATTGAAGGCTAATATCCACGTTTTTTGAGAAATTTTGGAGGATTCGGGCCCGGTGTCGAAAAGTCTAGAAATTCTAGGGGATATATCTCGGGGTCATATAATGTCGTTGGAACCATATATAATCGTTATTTGTTTTTATAAATGTTCGTGGTAGGCTTTAATTAATGAAAACGGTGCAAGTTGTAAACTTGTAAATTGGTTGTTTAACGGCAAATTGGATGGTTCCACCCACCCAATGGACCTCCCGGACAGTATTAGGGATCATGGGAAAGATTTGGCAATTTTTATTTCAAGGCGGAAAAAGACAAAATTTTCAAAATTGAAGGCTAATACCCACGCTTTTTGAGAAATTTTTGAGGATTCGGGCCCAGTGTCGAAAAGTCTTGAAATTCTAGGGGATACATCTCGGGGTCATATAATTCCTTTTGGAACCATTTACGATCATTATTTGTTGTCATAAATGTTCGTTGTAGGCTTGAATTAATGAAATCGGTGCAAGTTGTATACCGGTAAATTGGCCATTTAAAGGCAAATTGGATGGTTCCACCCAACCAATAGGACTCCTGGACGGTATTATGGATTATGAGAAATATTTCGACAATTTTTATTTCCGGGCGAAAATAAGTCAAAATTTTAAAAATTGAAGGCTAATATTCACGCTTTTTGAGAAATTTTGGAGGATTCGGGCCCGATGTCGAAAAGTCTTGAAATTCTATGAGATAAATATCGGGGTCATATAATGCCGCTTGGAACCATTTATGATCCTTATTTGTTGTCATAAATGTTCGTAGTAAGCTTGAATTAATGGAATCGGTGCAGGTTGTAAACCGCTAAATTGGTCATTTAAAGGAAAATTGGATGGTTCCACTCACCCAATGGCACTCTCAAACGGTATTAGGGATCATGGGAAACATTTCGGAAATTTTTATTTCCGGGCGAAACAAAGTCAAAAATTTTAAAATTGAAAGGGGATACATCTCGGAGTCATATAATGCCGTTTGGAACAATATATGATCATTATATATTGATATAAATGTTCGTGGTAGGCATGTGTTAATGAAATCGGTGTAAGTTGTAAGCCGATAAATTGGACGTTTAAAGGCAAATTGGATGGTTCCACCCAGCCAATTGGACTCCCGGATGGTAATAGGGATCATGGTAAACATTTTGGCAATTTTTATTTCCTTGTGAAAAAAAGTCAAAAAAATCCAAAATTAAAGGCAATATCCATGCTTTTAGAGAAACTTTGGAGGTTTCGGCCTACTGACTTTTTTACTCCTAACTAAAATTAGTAGAGTATAGTTCATTCTCTTAAATCTCCAACGATGTTATATGTGTTAAGGCCTGTTCACATTTACTGAACAATGAGCTAAAGTACGTGAATAGAACTGAAATGAATATTTTATGAGAGAAGGAAATTAGGAGCTAATTGAAATTGAATTGAACTGAACTAAAATTAACCTGAATTGAATAGACCCTTAGTATAACGAAGTAGTAGATGATACCTTCCACAAATATGGTATATCCGAATCTATATTTGCAAAAGGAGACAAGTTATTATTCATTTATTTGTCCACTCTTAATATCGGACAAGAAGACAAGAAGTAGTTGTGTACTTGTGTGTAAAAAAAAACAGAATATCACCAAAAAAAAAAAAAAAAAAAAAATCATGGTTTAATGAAATCTTAATTATTTTGATTTAATAGTAAAGAAGTAAAGATAACATTAGTTAATTACAGATAATATAATGTCCGAAAAGCAATACAACTGAAAATTGACTCGTGGTCTAAGTGCAGGGGCACACAATATTAAACTCTAAAAAGTAAAATCACATCTGCTCTGCAACACCATAAATTCTTTATCGAAGATGGCATCAATTTCTATGGCAGCTTCATTACCCTCTCTTACCAACCTCAAACTCCATTGTCCCAATTACAATAGGTATTCCTCTTACCTTTCTCTCTCAATTGATCTAATCATTCAATTAAATCAAATAAATGGTCTAATTTAATTGATTGAATCAGCTGAAAATGTTTTAAATTGATGTGAAATTGAGTAGTAATTTCTTTGGGATTTGCATTTTGGTAAAGATTTACAACTGTGAGTATGAGAGCATCAGCAAGTATTGATGGAGCAGCTATTTCCACTCAAGGAATTAAGCTTACTGAAGGATTGGGTAATCTTCCCAAGGTTGTTCTCACTTCTCCTCATGGTAGGTCCACTAATATTGATAACACTAATTTACGCGTGATTTTGTCACTTATTCCGAACTTTATAAAAAAACCCATTTGTTGTTGTTGCTGCTGCTGCTGCTGTGGTAGATTACTAATACTAGTAGTAGAATATTAATACTGTGATTGTTGATGAATGGGGTTGAAGGCAGTGAGGCTGAAGTATACTTGTTTGGAGGTTGTGTGACTTCATGGAAAATTCCAAATGGCAAAGACCTTCTTTTTGTCAGGCCTGATGCTGTGTTCAATGGCCAGAAACCCATCAGGTTCCTCTCTTCTAACCCTTCGCCTCGGCCCGGTGATTTAAGGGTCTTTGAATGGTTAAATGATGTATGATTACTGATATAATGTCTGATTTTGCATGGTAGTGGAGGAATCCCACATTGTTTTCCTCAGTTTGGACCTGGGGAAATACAGCAGGTATGATTGTTATTGCTTCTTCAATGTTTTCCATCATCCCATTCTGAAAAGCATAGATTTAAGTACTGATTTTGATGTTAATTTATGATATGCTATCCCTGATATGTTATTATAACATTTGAAATTTTGGGTTGATAGGGTGATGGACTAAGAAATGAAAATGCTTTCTGTGTAAACTGAACTTCTGGTTTCTGACAGAAATAACTTAGAATGTAGCCTAATAGTTTGGGACTGTCTAAATAGAGATTTTGCCCCTATTTTTGGGGATAAAAGGAGTTGTTGTTATACCTCTTTCTGCATTTTGCTAGTCATCCTCTCATGATATAATGGTATGGACTAACAACTTGTGGGTTATTAATCGAATAATCATGAATAATTAAGAATTCATCTTTGTTGTTGTTGCTTTTGTTTTGTTCTACCATCTACAAACATCTTCATTATGCTGCTTTCATTTATCATTCTGCAGCATGGTTTTGCAAGGAATATGAACTGGTCGGTTGTTGATTCTGAAAGTATCGATGGGAAACCTGTTCTGACTTTAGAACTGAAGGATAATCCTTACAGCCGGGCAATGTGGGATTACAGCTTCCAAGCTTTGTATAAGGTTAGCTGCCTTGCTTTGCTTAGTATTAGGTGAAAGGAAGAATAACAAAATGACTCAAGGATGTTAAAGATTTCTATTTCTTTTTCTATTTTAGATCCCTTTTTTGTATCATGTGTCAATCATACTTCCATTTGAATGATGCTTGTACCTTATTTTAAGTGAAACTTAATCTTCAACGCTGTGATTTCAAGACTAGCTTAACGTTTGTGTTTCTCTTGCATGTTTCAGATCATTTTGGATTCCAATAGCCTTTCAACAGAGTTAACTGTCACTAATACAGACAAAAAGGCCTTCTCTTTTAGCACTGCTTTGCATACATACTTCCGGGTGAGTACCCTGCTCACATTTTGAACAATGAAGTTATTAGTCATAATCAAATTAGTTTGCACTTTCTTCAATGGAAGCTTGAGAGTGGATAAGCTGTAAGCGTAATCTGTATATATTTTGAGCCTTTTAAATGCTGTAAAGTGTTCTGGATAGAATGCTTTTTAATTAAAGGATGATCATAAATTACTAAAATGTTAGTACTTCCTTTTCCAGTAGTCCCTATTATAAATCATCAAAAAGCTATTTTCCATATTCCCAATCATAAGTCTTCCTGCCTTCCAAACTTGTTCTGAAGTGAAAATGAAAACTTCATCAGATATTCAGAACTACCTTGGTTACTGTGCAGGCTTTGATCAACGGGGTGGCGGTTACAGGTCTGAAAGGTTGCAAAACACTCAGCAAAGAATTAGATCCTAAAAATCCTCAAGAGGGTACAGAGGAGAGGTACGTATCATAATCATAAAATGCGAGTGGGTTATCTATTTCAGTTTTAGCTGGAAGATTTTAACGTTTATTCAAGTGGCTGCCAAATAACGTAGACGGTAGACAGCTTGATTGGGGTACATTAATGTTACAATTTTACGCTGGTGCTTATCTTCTCTAATTATTCATCTCTCGACATACATAAGTTTATGCAGTTTTTTTTTTTTTTGGTCATGATTTCCACTCGAAATAGTATTTTGCATAACTGCTTTTAATTATAACGTACTAGGAATGCAGTTTTTTTCTCGGACAGTGGTGGTTTAAAAATGAACAATAGTTTTCAATGCTAAATAGGCCTTTACCATATGTGAAAGTGGAGAAAATATTCCCTTTGAGAATGTCCCAGAAAAGCTTTAGATTGTGCTTTGCATATCTTAGTCACATGGTCAATTGACTTATAATGATTTCAGGGATGTGGTCACATTTCCTGGATTTGTGGACTGTGTATATCTTGATGCACCAAATGAAGTACTCCTCGATAATGGTTTGGGGGATAAAATATCAGTCAAGAATACCAAGTACTTTCTTATCTGAGTTCATCTGTTCAGACTCAACTTCCTGAGTTTGTCATTCCTCACACCTTGTTAAATCTATGCAGTTGGTTAGATGCGGTCTTGTGGAATCCACATCTGCAGATGGAAGCTTGTTACAAAGATTTCGTTTGTGTTGAGAATGCCAAGGTAAATTCTTAATTATTGTAAATGGATGACATATCTGAGCTATATGCTTCAGCTTCTCTCTGTACTTCTGTAGGGTAACTATTTTCATTCATCATATGAACTCTAAAATTGTTTGTTGAGTCAATTTCTGATAAAAAGGATCTACCTATTTGCTACTAGATCATTTCAGAGAGATTTTTAAAGCCCTTATTATACTCAAATCTTTAATTATGGATCATTCTGTCATGCAGATTACAGAACTCCAGCTACAGCCTGAGCAATCTTGGACAGCAACACAGCAACTTAGTGTTGCTTGAGATAGTTTTTGCAGCATCATATTTAAGGAACACGTTTCTCTTGTCAACATCTTAGAAATACTCTTCATGGATTTGGCAGCTTATCATTTGAATAATCAAAATAAATTTTGTATATTGTTCAGCATTCTTCAATAAATATTTTGTATCTAGTTGACTTGTTGTAACATATTCCTGTTCAATGGACAATCTAGCAATTCCAAAATTATATACTGTCACTCTGAGACTAATTGTTTATGTTGAAGCTATTCCTTAACAACTACTGTGAGACTGATTGTTATTCAACTTCATACTCCAGTACCAGATTTTGGCTCACAGAATATGTGGTATATGACGTATAAAGGCTTCAATTCACGCTATAACAAGGTATAAGTTCTGGAAAATGATTGAGTTCGACATAATGAAGTTCAATAATCAGAAACACACGAAGAACTAAAAGCAAGAAACATACTTTTATTAGTGCTATATCATGGAAATTTTTGTATCTAATGAACTAAAAGAATTGACAAACTAGGTAAGTAGCCAACTAAAAGAGCTCAGAAAAGCTCAAAAAAAAAAACCCCATAAACTGCATTTACATTAGCAAATCTAAACCCCAATTAACCTAAACACATGATTTATTCTTATCTCAGAGCAATTAAGGAGATGAAACACACCAACAAGATGATGAATCCTACAGCCCAAACCCAATGCACCCAATTCCTGTTTTTCTTCTTCATCTGCTTAGCATAGTACAGACTGTTAGTCCCTCCACTGATATATTCTCCTGCATTCACCACATTCTGTTCAATGTCATTGATTTGTTCCCCTTGTTTCTCGATCAAAACCGCCATATCGAGAAAAACTTGATGCAGTTTATTCAAGCTCCTTTGTATATCCTTTACAACCTCATATCTTTCCTTTTCCTCCTTGTCTGCCCCTCCCACTCGCCCCTCGAAAACCTCGATTTTCAGACTGCCAGACAGCAATTTCTCCACAGTTTCTTCACTTGGGGCCTCTCCTGTAGCATTATAGTACTTCCTCCTTAGATCATCCCTATGATCATTCATGATTGTTTCCCTTAACCCTGTAAAATCAAATATCATATCCTTGAATTTGATTCTTAACCCATTAGTCACTGCCACCCTAGTACGATCCACAGTGCTTCCTTCACGAAACGAGACCGATACTCTTCGATTGCTTACATTCGAGCTATCGAGAGACTCGAGGCGGGACTTGAGAGACTTAACCTTTCGAAGAATGGCAATGGTGTCGGAATCCATTCGATCTCGAAACCCTCGGAGGAGTTTAGTACTGTGAGTGGTCTTGGATTCTTGATGAAGAGACTCAAGTTCATGAAGAAGATTACTGATTTCCTCCATTTGGGATTTGATTAAATCGATTTCTTTGAAGAAAACAGAGAGATTTTCTTGATCAATTGGATTTAATTCCTTCCATGTTTCTGCATCAGAAAGCTCTGTTTCAAGGTCTGTTTGAATTTGCTTCTTCAAATCAACATAACTTAAGAACGATTTCGTCATCAAATCATTCATTTTCGAAACAATTTCTGAAAATGCACCTGCCAATTCAACACAGAATTATCAGAATCCAACAAAATTCATCAAACTAAAGGAAAAACAGAGCATAATTTTGTGATTATTGAAATAAACAAATACAAACTCAAATGGGTTACTAAATTGTATTCAAATTCTTGATTAAGAATAAATTACAAAAACAAAATGAGAAATTTCATAAAATAAAACCAAGATTCTGATTAACTTCAATAATCAACGTAAATAAGAAAAATAACAACTTAATTGTAGAAAATTACAGAAATTTGAAAAAACCCAAATAACAAATTCTGGAAAAAATTCATAATCGACAACTAATTTGAAAGAAATATATGATTACCTTGCTGAAGATTGAAGAAGAACGCTTTTTTGGTCTATTTTCCTGTGTTCTTCAAGAAGAAAAAAAGGGGTTTTTTTCCTCTCACTAAATTCTTTCTCTCTCAACAAAAATTGGGGAATTTTAATTGTTTTAAGATGAATGAGGATAAGAAGAAGAGAGATAAAAAGGGTTTGGAAATGAAATTTTGGTGAGGGAGAAATGGAGAAAGAAGCTGTTAATGAGGGAGTTGGTTGTATTTGAGAGGGGATTTTTTGAATTTTAAATAGTCAACCGTTAACATTTTCATAACCGCTTACAAATGTTGTGTTTTAAAACGATGACGTTTGATTGTAAAATAAATTGAAACGACAAACACCTTACAAGAATTTAATCCAAGGGTAACAAAATCTTAAAGAAATATAAAATCCTATTTTTTTTTTTTATTTTTTTTACAAATGGAACTAAAAACAAACAAAAAAGACTAAGGGTCTGTTCACATTTACTGAACTGAGCAGAATTAAATTGATTTGAGCGGAACTAAAGTGAACTGAGGTGAAATTAATATTTTATGAGAGAGGGAAATTAAAAGCTGAACTAAACTGAACTGATTGGACCTGAAATAAACTGAACTTATTAGAGCTAAACTGAAGTGAAATTAAGTAAATGTGAACACTAAAAGGTCAAAAAGGAAAACGTCATTGACGAGTCTTAACCACGAGCCAGAGCTACCCATGATCTAGGAACCTTAAAAATCCATTGCCTTCAATTAAAAAATTCTTTTAGTTGTTACTCCGTATACTAATAGAGTATGAGACTAGAGTCGTATAAAACTCGTAAAATTGTAACCTTTTAAGAGTGTGTGTTATAGACCTTATAGCAAGTAGTTCGAAAATGTTTAATTATAAATTGCAACCATTAACTCTTAACAAAATTGTAACAATGGGTAACCACAACGCAAATTGTCACACAAATGTTAATTCTGAGATATTATGTATGCAAATTTCTTGTACACGTGTTATGATGTGTGTATGATTATATGGAGTATATCTTTCACTATGGTGATTCGATATCTAAAAGAAGAAATTTCAGGTTTCTTGCTGAATTCCTAACTTCTCTGCCTCAAGCTTTCTTAAGGTTGTCGAACTCAGCTTATCATCACTTGTTGCATCAGATACTAAATCAACAACTTCAATCTGCAATTAATATATAATGCGAGCTTCAGACCAACACAAGAATATGGAAGCAATTTTTTTTTTGTTTTAAAGGCTCAGCTTACAGAAAACTAAAAATAGAAAATGTTTGCAAGTTAATGATCAAACCTTTAGTTCTGAAAGTCCCTTCTCAGCTCTCTTTCGATTGACTGACAATCCTCCGGTATACGTCTCCTTACTGCCAGGAAAGCAGAAGCATAAATCAGTCAGGTGTGGATTGTGACTGAGAATCGTATAAGTTATGTTTTAATCAGATCATGAAGTCAACACCAATGGCACAAAGTTATCCTTAACAGAATCCAGCAAAAGACGAGCAATTTCAGCAGTTTCAATGCATAGTAAATCTTCCCATCTTTCACAATTTTACAATAATAAGGTAATGGTATACACCAAAAAATGTATTACTCCTATTAGACACTTCACATGAAGTATGTGCCAGAAGAAAAGAGCACAAAAAGAATCTAAACAGCCCAAAAGCTGTCATAACAAGGGGGTATGTGGAAATCAGTGGAATTAATGGGCAGCGCTTAAGAATAAAAAAGACTGCTAGGCTGCTATTTCCTGCACCTAAATCCACATAACATACCTGACTACAATGGCCTCCAAATTTTCATCAGTAATAGAAGGACCATAAGGATCTACAATGGGTTCGACTTGAACAGTTAGCTCTGGTTTGATGGACTGCAGAAAAGAGAATATACAAAATACGATAATTCTGATTAATAATGTGAGAAAATGGAGAATTGTGTAGTCATATGCAAAGAACCAAAGATATAAAACAAATCCAGACGGACTTCTATAGCCAAAAAAGACTCATAAGTTCTATAAAAACAAGATTGAATTTCAAAATGTTATCAAGCATGAGTTTTGCAGAAATTAAGTAGCAACAGTATTAGAATGATGCCACATAGGTTATGAAGATAATTTCTAAGAAATATGAGCCTTAGCCTTTGTACTTGATGATTACAAAATGTGCACCTTAATATAATCTTGCACGTTCTGCATCCTTTTCTCGATAGGTTCTATCAATTCTGCATACTGCAAAAGAATTCAAGATGGGTAGAAATTATCAGTAAAAAATAATTGAAATTCTGTAACCATACTTGATAAATAGAGCATATGGAGTTCTTAGAGTTCAGCTATGTGGACCTTGGGTAGTAATTTTATAAGCAAACATTAGGCTAAAAGAGCATGTAAATATGGAAAATCAAATTCACAAAAACTAACACGAATGAATAACACAGTTTGAACTCAGCGGATAATTTTAAGTCCCACGTCATTAACATGTGTTAGTATGGTGGATGATAAGACAAGGTCGCAACTACATGAGACACTGAAGCTCAGTTATGGCCAAGCACACTCTAAAGCAGCTTTCATTTCAAACTGAACCCAAATAATTCACATCCTATTTCTGTAGCTTTCATTTCACTTGCCTACTACACAATTTATGGTCATTAATTAGAATTATTTTGACAGAAACATTAAGATTTGACAAGCTAATAAAAAAGACAGGACACTCGGTGATTCTCGTTTGTTATTGTTCCCTTCGTCAAGTACTAAGACATGTATGTTATCTGATATCTCCTCATTATAGCCAAGTAAACTTAGATCTTCAAGATAGTAAACTTATAGTGGTTATCCAGATAGTAAACATAATAAATGAGGCAGCAAAAGAAATAATATCAAAATATTTTCAGATGCATGATCAAATCTTCTCACGGATGGCAAAGTAAAAAGAAAGATGAAACAGGCATATACATGTAGCGATTGGGAAGTTTCGGGTGGAGGGATTCACCTGCTTTTTAGCCAGCATAGGGCCATCACAAACTCCAATAACAACACGGTCTGTAGCAAGATCAGCTGCAGCCTAAATTAACAATGCTCTGTCAGGAATGTTTCAGCATCCAAGTCAAATCAATCAGAAACATGTATGTTGTCTAAAAACAAAAAAGGCAGTTTCCAAATGTCTTCCCTAGATCAATAATCATAGCTTTCAAAATGACACATTCTTCCTTAAACACGGCAACCCCATACAACACCATCCCTATAATAGTTTGTCATAATCAGATTAACTGAAAGCTTTAGAAAAGACATTATTTCATATGCAAAACCAAAAAACTGCAGGCCACATCCACGATTATCAACGCCGACACTTGTGTACCTTGACTGTGGTTCAATACTTCTATCCCAGAAGCCATTACTATAAGAATGTCTAGGATATGAGAGCTCTTGCCAGAAGTCCATAAAATTCATCTCAAGCATCAACACTATTAGCATAATAGAACTAAGACATCATAAACATATCTCAGAATCGACCCGAATATAAACTCTAATTAATAATGAGCTTAAATCTCTGTCATGTAATAATGAGCTTAAATCTATCTATGTAATATACAAATATGTAATCCATCTATGTCCTACAGTATACTATCTTAGGAAATTCAGTAAGACAATAATCCAAGCAAATATAAACCCAAATCCAAATTAGTCATTAGATGAGAGTACTACAGAAAAGTCAAAGCCTACAAATTGTTGATCAAATTCATGAACAAAACAAATTCCTAAACAGACTATAATAAGGTAAATGTATAGCAACTTATCCCAGAAATTAATTGTCAAAATTTCCCAAAACAACATCTCCTTTAAAATTGAAACCAAAAATAGCAACTTATCCCAATTGACTTGTAGTTGAACCCTACAACCCAGAATCCTTTAATTACTAATATTAGATAATAAATTGAAGATAAAAAAGAAGAAATTAAGTTAAGGATAGGAAAAAATAGAACCTTGAGAAAAAGACGGTGACCATCGTGCAAACGGTCGAAAGTGCCGCCAAGAACAACACCCGAAAATGAATTTGGAGGAGAGAGATTCGAATTCAAAGGTTGTTGATCATGGCTTTCTTCTTCAATTGGATTAGTTTGTGGCATTGTCAATTTGTTTTCCAAAACCCTAGATTTCTTATTATTATTAGAAATTTCTTGTACAATTTATGAATTTGGAGGAGACAGATTCGAATTCAAAGGATCGTTCGATGTGATGGAAATTGGTTGAATGAGAAGAGAGAGAAAGGTTGGTAAAAATTTTGGTGTTGGAGAGATTTTTACTAGGGTCAGAAACAGAGGGAGTACGATTGTACGACTCTACTTCACTATTTTTTTTTGTTTTTAAAAAAAAAAAAAAAATTACGGTAAGGAAAAAGACCCTGATCGAAACTCAACCATCACGCTTTTTTTATTCCGATATTTACGAGTTAGACACATTAAGAATAGGAGGGAAAGACCGAAAGAGTAAGAAATCCCTACCCTCAAAGTGCTTCTAATGAGGATTGAATCTCCAACATCAAGATTAGAAATTACAATCTTTCCCACTAAATCAAACTTAGTTGTAGACTATGCTTTACTTGTATTTAGGATTTCAATACTACGTACTCCCTAATAAATAAGCATTGCCCCACAAATCCACAATCCATATCATAAACACATTCATTAGACATGCTCATAGAGTCATAGACACATTTCTCAAATTTAATCGAGGATGTTAACAATAGATGTTACCTCAAACCGTCGAGAATGAAATTGAACATTCTTTTCTTCTAATCTCAATAGATTGTTTTTCTTCGCGCTTCCAAGAATCACGTACTGTATTAGTGACAATTTGAGTAATCGAGTTAATAATAACATAGCTCTTTAAGACCTCAATCATTATTAGATTATGATGTTATTTTGAACATTATAACTTAGTAAAATACTTATATAAAAAAAATATATTGGCTTTTGCTATAGTATATCCTTCTACAATATTCTATTTAGAATATACTTCATACTTCAATTCGTATCGTATATCATAACTTTAATGACAAAACATTGTAAATATTAAATAAAGAAATTAGCTAATGACAAAAAATGTACCAAGTGCTTTCCAAAAAAAAAAATGTACGAAGTAGACTTAGGGCATGTTCTGATGTATTAAATTGAGTTGAAATGAACTGAATTGATTTGAGCTGAATTAAATAGAATTGAAATGAATTGTTTACGAGAGAAAGAAATTAAGAACTAAACTGAACCAAACTAAACTGAATTAAAATTAAGCCGAAGAAAACAAACCCATAGTAGTAGTTTAGAGTTTTGAGAAAATATATCATTTCATAAAATTCACTTAAATAATTAGTCATATTATTTGCAAAACACTGAAATACTCTTGAGAATTCCATTGTATGATCTCAAATATTCATGAAAGAATCATTATTTAAAATATAGTTTTAAAAAAACAAAGCTAATGATTCTATATAAATCCAATAATAATAATATAACGATAAATAAAGTAAATCCAAAATATTTCTCCAAAATGTAAGTAACATCTAAAGTAAAAATACATAATTATTCAAAGTTTTGGTTAGAAAAGGAGGAAAATCAAAGACCCAAATTATAAATAAAAAATATAATTAAGGAAGCACCAAGGAGAAAACAGAGTAATGGAAGATGAGGGGCGGCGAGTGGTTGAAGGCGGCGGCGCCACGGTGGCTTGCCGGAAGAAAGGGAAGATTTTGGGGTGTTTTTATTTGGGATTAATAGCTGAAATGTTATGGTAAGATTGCAATTGAAATGGGATAAAATTGAAGGTAAAAATCATGTTAATTAAAAGCTTGGATTGGTTGACAATTGAGGTGCATCTTGTGGTTGGGAAGAACATGATGATGGTGTATGAATTCTTGATTTTTACACGTAGGTGAATCCAATTGAACAGTAACTTTGTAGTTTGAGGCTGGTATATTTGGGGAATATGCATTGACTTGAACTAAGGAATATTGAGTAATTGACCCAACTAATTAGCTTAATTAATGAATAAAAGTTTAGAAATAATATTTTGATTATTTAAAACTAGTGTGTTTGAACCTTAAAATGTCCCAAATTATTGCATTAACGCTATAATTTAAACCCTTATTTGATAAGGAGTATAATTTTTTTTTAAAATAACATGTAATAAGCCGGTCGGGAAAAAAAAATAGAGTAGCATGTAACATGACAATTGCTTAGCGATCAACACTTTAGTAATCAAATTGATGGTGTGAATCAAATTTTGTGCAAATTGTATTTTTAAGCAACTTTAAGAATGCTTCTTAATATATACTTGACCTATTGCAAATAGGCACAAGTTTTAAGGCAGAGTAGAAAAAAAGGTGAAAGACCAAATTGCCCTCCACTCCTACCCTTCCCCTCCACTGACACTTAGAGAGTTAGAGAGTTGAGTTTTGATACTACATCTCAGAGGTCACCACCACAACGCCTACGCCGCACCACAACCACCACTCCTACCCTTCACCCAAACGCTCCTCTTCACTACCAAAACAGCCTATGCCACACCACAAGCACTCCCCTTCACCGCCCCTGTTCAGGCCGCCACCACCATACCCCACCGTGAGTATTTTTTACAGAAATTGAGAGATTGTTGGCTGTGGTTGTTATAGATCGTACATACAACCACCGAAATAAAGACAAGAAAAGAGAAAGAGAAAGGAAATACACATACTCCAACCACCGTCACCCAAGCAACATTTAAGAAACTGAGATCTAAAATCGAGGGTATGAAGGTTGAATTTGGTTGTGTTTGTTTTAGATCTGAATTTGGCGACCAAATTCGACCATCGTAGCCTTGGTAAATTTTGGGTATTTTGATGGCAACGGCGCGGAGGTAAGAGAAAGTGTGTGATTGAAATAAGGTGGAGGACTGGAGGGCATCGCCGGTGAAGAGGAAATATAAGGGCGGTGATAAGGGTGGTGTTTCAAAAAAAAAAAAAAAGTGAGGTGGTGGTTGTGGTGGCTGCCATGGATAAAGTGGAGGAAGGAGAGAGGATATGGTGGTGACTGGTGGTGGAGGAATGAGGGGGAGAGTTGACTGAGGTAAGATAGGAAAAAATAAAGGTTAAAGGGTAAGTGTCCTAGTAGAAATTGTTACGAGGGTAAATAAGTAAAAGTGTAATGTTATATTTGCCATAAAAGGAAACAGGTCAAGTAAAAAGAAATACAGGTCAAGTAATAAAGAACGGAGAAAGTATTATAGATTTAGAAACTTATAAATATCTTGATTTGCTGATATACATAATTTAATTAAAAGTTCACTCCGTTTCTTTCTTCTTAATATCCTAGTGTACGTACTCTTTATTAAATTGACAAGTACAGTAGGGACATTTGATTGGCTCTATATATCATCTAATAATGAGGATAAACAATGCATGTTCAGTTATTACAACTTACATATCCAACAACATGTCTGTAGCATCACTTTGACTTTTCTTCATTCAACTTATTGCAATTTGCAAATCACTTACTTTTGCTCAAAGACTGAAATTTATTACTCTCAATCCTCAATAAGGGAGTCTTTATTAGACCATGTACTTTACATTCTTTAAAACAAACATTGCAAATTACATAAATTAAATAATAATTTTTCATTGATGGAAGAGAGCATCAGTACATAAACATAAACAAAAGCTCAGTAATGGAAATATTATACACTTGCCATTGAAATCAATCTTATGAAAGATTGTCCTGTGTAACAGATAAAATATAAGTGGTTTTGAGCACCACAATATACATCGTTTGTGCCTTTAATTACTTAAACCTCCCCATGACCTAGACATGAATTCTCACTTAAACACTTAGTTTGTGAAATACAAGTATGTTCTCTACCAACACAAAACTTCACATACATACACTTTACGAACCGAAATTGAATTTTATGCCCTATAATTAATTATGTCCCACGCACACTTGTGTAAAATCTTCTTATTTATTCATGCAAATTATATACCCAAATGAACCAATTCAATCAATAAATATGAGGAGAATTTTGTTCCACCGTATGTCACGTGCTTTTGATCATAAATCAGTTAATCTTTGAACAAACTTTCCTTATTTGACCAGCATTACCTGTAAGAACACCAATTCTACCCATATTTACCATGGACACCCCAAAGTCTTTGAAGAAACTTTCTTGGTTACCACCTTTGTGAGCTAATACATAAGCTTTAGTCTCAGCATTGTTGAGTAATGCAGCATCAGATTGAAACAATCCTCTGTTTTTAGACACTTGCGCGTAGTAACCCTCGTCGAATTTCTTGGAACTTCCGGGATCCATTTGTACGAATACATCAGGACCATTTAAGGTACATATCTTTTTTAATGTAGCGACGTAATGGGAATTCATGGATGGATCGACATCACCTTTACCGGTGAAGTTGTAGAGACGGTTTCTGAATGCAGAACAATGACCTATGCCTATTGTGTGCGCGCCTGCACAATTATATATTCAATAAGTTACATATTAGTTACAACTTTGGGTAGTATGTAAGGAGGTAGTAAAAGAAATAAAAAACATTGTTTAATGTGTTTATATACCTGATAAGACAACAAGATCCTTTACACTCAGTCCTTTTCCCCTAAAACTTCTCACCAAAGCGTTTATATTGTCAGTAGGTGGCGGCAAATTAGTTAAAGCATCATTAAGCAAAGAAACAACACCATCTCGTCTTCCTAGCTCAACATTCCATGAAAATCCACCAGTCTACAAAGGTAAATAAGATTAATTTAGTTCCAAATTACAATTAAAAATCGAATAATAATTTAGAGATTTGTTTATTAATTATTTAATATGAAGAGATATACACCTGAACCACGACGTCTCTAGATACCATGGTTATTATATCAGCACATGAAACAACTCCAGGACAATGAATTTCCAAAGCATTCTTGACTCTATCTATGATTTCATATCCTCTAAGAGTTTGATTTGGAATTGCATCTTTCTCAGCTTGGTTTGTAGGAGAATTTAGCAAGACAGAAGCATCACAACCCTATGAATCAAACAAATATAACAATAAGAAAATGATTTGTATGGTTTTTAACTTATAAGTTATAACTGTGTTATATATGAGTACAGAGTCGAGAATAAAAAAATATAATTTGAAAAGAACACAACCTAATTTACGAAACAAAAAAAAAAAGTACAATATTATTATTACTCACCCTAACAAAACAATCATGAAAGAACATTCTCAACAAGGGGCCAGAAAGAGAAGGAGCAACAGCTAGAGTTTGTTTGACAACATTCATTGTTATGGACTCGGCTTGAGGACATGAACGCGAATAGTACCCCACTGCTAGGCCGTTGCCATTAACACTCAATACAAGAGGAAGAAGAAGAGCTAAGAAAAACATAAATTTCGGAGTAGCCATTATCGATTGATCTCTTAATAATTAATTAATAATTAAATAAAATGAAGTAGAGTTGCTAAGATGAGTATTAGAAGGACAATATGAGGTTCATTATATAGTGAATAGTTTACGTACGAATTATGCCGCCACTAATTAACATGTCAAATATTGCCAACCAAGAGGCTGCTGTACGTTGTTCCAATATTGCATGCATCCAAAACCAAAGCCAAACAAAGCCTTTTGTTTGCACGTTTGTAGTTGGTTTTTATTTATTTATTTATTTATTTTTTGGTTGGTGCTAACAATTATTATATAGGTTAAATAAAACTTGACAAATTAAAGTAACACTTTGACTATATCTTAAATAATTACCTAGGCTAGCCTATATAATATGGCTGCTTGACAGCTTGACTACTAATTATTTGCGAGGTAGCTAAGGTTGAATAATCTCTTTTTTTTAATTAATAAAATAAACATTATTCTTAATTTATATAATATGGGACCATATATGGAACATATATACATAATACACTCAAGATGCAAGCATTTACTTAGGTAGTTTGGGCTAGTTGGTGATGGTATACAATAATACAAGTATGTATAATGTACTGTCGTATTGTCTATTAGAAAATGAACATCGGATATTTTAATTATCCTAATTTAATAATAACGAACTTTCGAGGTGTATAGTTATATGAAAAAAACAATGCTTAATTATTATAAAATATATAGTTGTATGAATTGAAGTGTTCCTATAACGTAAGCACCTAATATTTTATGTCTAGTTACAATTGATGTATGTAGGAGTATATATTTATCTCTATATGATATGTATGATTAATTAAGATTTATTTAAATGAAGGTCAACTTGACAAATGACAAGGCACACCATGATTTGATATTTTGATACCAATGGAGCATATAAGTGGATGCATATAATATGGATACCAAGTTTTGGGAATCTCATTTATGTCAGTGCCTTTAATTCAATTCTATCATATTACTCATTTACTCAAACTACCTCCGTCAAATGTTATGTGCAACTTTGAGATATTATTTATGAGATATAAAATATTCCAAAGTTGCACATAACATTAGTATATATAATACAGAACTGTATAGTGTATATAGAACATCAAATTTTTAATATCCCCTAAAAAAAAGGCAATACAATTTAGTTATTGTTCTAATTTAAGAGTAAAAGATTAATTTGTACACCATTTAATTTTTTAAACTAAGTACTGATCTTCTTTAGCCTGTATGAACTGTTGTTCAGATCAATACAACTTTGAATGTTAATATCTTTAATTTTTCTCTAAGTGATGAGGATTGTAAAAATTTTGAAATGTTGAAAGAAAAATAAGATATATTTAGGGTATATTCACATTTACTGAACTGATTGGAGTTGAACTGAAATGAATAGAGATTAAATGAATAATTTATAAGAGAAGAAAATTAGGAGTTGAACTGAACTGATTGGAACTGAACTGAACTTATTAGAGCTGAACTAGACTGATAAGCTGAAGTGAACAGGCCCTTTACATTGCTTCATGTAAGGATCACAATTAAATTGTTTAAAATAAGTAAGACATTAATTACATTGATAGACACATTATTTTGTTATGCTATAGTTTATAAATCATATATATGTTAAAAATCTTGAAATAAATTCATTCAAAAGCATTCTAAAAAACAATAATTATTTTTATGTATTAGTAGAAAATCTAATTTTAAAATAAGACATGCAAATAATGTAAAAATCAAAATAGATCAATAATTAAAGGGTAATGCTATATGCAACCTTATATACTTTCTTTTTATTATTAGTATTAAGTTGAGAATTTATCGACAATTCACAAGTAAATCGATATAATAAATGTTTATTTATTGTCAATTCTTTTCATTTTTAGTTTCTTATATGTAACCCTAAAGACTGCATACGTGTTTTTCCATAATTAAAAACGGAAGCCAGTAGTAATGTAATATTTAACTTTTTAAGTTGATGACTACCTCAAGAAATCGAATAAAATCGAAACACCAATTTAATCATCATATCAGTGAAATGAGACAACATCTAATCATGACTCTATCATACGGCGTATACTATATTAAGTCAAAATGTATTATCGTTAGTTAGGTCTAACAGTCGAATTATTGGTTAAAATTAAGGAATCTTTATGGTTTATACGAATTATTATTTTTACGGTGAATAATTATCGTTAGTTTAGGTCTAATACTATACTCTAATAAGTCTTATCGATGTTGTTTCGGGTGAAAACAATGGGACCTTGCCGAAGGTCCGATGAAGTGGTGAAGACTAGATTCGGTCCAAGAAATGTTGGGCCGAAGGTTTCCTGCACAGTAAACACACGTAAACTAGCCTCGGGGGTGTTGCCGAGGAAGGCCCCTCCGATGCTAAAGTCAGTACAGTGTGTAGAAAGAGAAGACTATGCAAGAGAATTAGTTGCTTGAGGCTTTGCTTGAATGAATGAAAATCAATGTAAAAATGTAATATTGATGGCTTTTATACCTCTTCATACATGGAGAAGTTGGGCCTTAGCCCAATTGGCTTGCCTTGAGGACTGATCTTTGACTTTAGCACAATTGGAGAGATGAACCTTGACCTTGGGATTTTAATTGGATCATTTAATGCCTAAGCCCAATTGGACTAAATTGGACCAAAACAGATGTCATGATATTAATCAACAAACATGACATGTAAACAAACATGGACAAGATGAGATGGGCATGCAAGAGAGAACAACTTAAACTATTATAGTACTCCCTCCGTCCCTAAATTACATTCCTCTTTCTAGCATTTATTCTTCACATAATAGAGAGAAAGATGAATGTAATTTAGGGACGGAGGGAGTAATATTTTATACTACTTCCGTTTCATATTATTTGCAACGATTAGACATGTATCCTCTCTAATTTATGTCAAATCATTGCACATAATATGAAACGGAGGTAGTAATTATTTTTAGGGGCATTGCATTTATTACCAAGCAATGACATTCTAACAAACATGACTTAATCATGCTGCATGGTATGTTGAATGTTCTCTCTTCTACTTATCTTAATCAATCACCATCTTCTACTTTTGTATTTTATTTGATGATATTTTTTAGAAAAATATATGGTTGTATGCAAATGTACTAAAAAAACAAAGGATAAATTAAATAACATGGATATGTGAATATGTGATAAAACATGCCTAGCTAGTTATAATCATGCATGCAATGTGTGTATTGCTATCGTAGGTGACTCCCACTACGCCATAAAAAAATTGTATCCTCTTCTATCTTGTTTCGTTGCTAAATTAGTGTTTCAAATCCTCACTTGACTGTCATTTATATAACGAGGAAAAAAAAGGTTTTGAGTGTTTTTGTTTTATTTGTTGAACGATATTATACATCTTGTTGGGAAGTAAGTATTCGAAATTTCTAACACTAGACTGGATTGCATTACAAAATGCTTATAGATATACCACAAAGAAAGTAATAGTGATGGTTTCCAACTATTGCAATTTGCAAGAATAAAGAGATTTTTATTATTCACAATTAATAACAAGATAATGACTAATCGCAATAAGCCATAAGTACAGTGTTTGGTTTCTGACTTCAACAAAGTTGAAAAAACAAGCAAAACACTTATCAATTACGGAGTAACGGTTAAAAATAAAATAACCGATACATCAAGTATAAAATTAAAATTTCACTCAATAATGCCATTTTATTTCTACAAAATTGAGCTCCTAAATGATCTAGGAAAATTGTTGACCTCATCCACTTCTTATAATCCTTCTGTATTTTATTACTTAATTCACTTTCTTTTTGCTCCCGTAGTTTATGCATATCATATACTCTCTCCTCCCCACTTATACTCATATTTCCTTTTTTTAAACCTCACTTGCATCTTAAAATAAGGAGTAATACTTTAGACTATTTTCTCCCAGAATTCCATGTCCAGAGAAATGGAGCAAATAATAAAATAAAAAGAGTATGTACTACGGAGTAGTAAAATTAAATTTTCACGATGAGAATAGAAAACAACAAACTGGCAACTTATCTAAAACAGTAGTGAAACATATCCTACCGACAAAAAAGACATTTTTTTATTAAATGTAAGACTGCACCTTTAAGAAACAATTAATACGAGTACCATGAAATCATCCTAATGAAGCAATAATGATGGATAAGGAAATGCCTCCACGGCAAAATAAGATGACAATCTCACTCAACAAAACCAAAATCTGCAACAGAAACTTCATCTGTTTATTTGAAATGTGTTTTAAAAAAACTGTTAACCTGAGAGGTATATACATCAGGAAATGCCCTGTAATGATCTACATGAGGCGAAGATCCAAAATTATAGGACCGGACATCTCTTCCCTTCGACTTTTGGTGTTCAATAAAAGATTCTACGGATCGATATGGTATAACCTTATCTGCTGTGCTGTACAGATAAAGCTGTGGACATGGTGGCTGATTTTCTGAAAGATGATGTATGATCTTCATCAATCTCCTATTGAAAAAACAAAATAGAGTATTCATTTAGGGTGATTCAAAGTCATGTAACAAGAGGTATGAAACACGTTAAACAGAATACTTACTGGTTCACAGCAGGCAACTTAAAAAGGAAGGAGAACATTCTCTCCAAAACTGCAAATACTAAAGCCTCAACTATGAGAGGGTCTTTTTCCTGCACGTTTGACTTGTTTTTATCAGTACTTGGTTCTACGTTCTTAACCGATGGAACCATTACAGTATTCCGTTTCTTCAATAGGGCAGCAGTAAAACCAGCTGCCCAAACCTGAAAGATATGTGAGAATATGTGAGTCTATATAGTTCATCCTTCCCATCCATTTTACTTTTCCAAAGTTCGTTTTTCTTATAGGATCTCACTGGAAATAACTCTTCAGCCATGATGTAATATTCTTTCTAAAGAATAAAAATAACAAGAGTAATAGGGAATTACAATGTGAGGGGTGAGCCCCACTTTCTACTTATAACATCTGAAATATTTGGTCATGATGCTTAAAAATCAAAAGAGCAAGAGTGATAGGAATAACAATTTGAGGGGTGAGACTCACTTTATCCCTACCACATACAAAGCACTATGAGTAACACTTCTTAAATATACCATACTTTCCCTGGGAAAAGAGTAATGAAATAGAGCTCCACTTCCATTACCAGTTGAGACAGAAGAGCAAAGTCTCACCTATGGCAGGAACACTTATAGGAGACAATCACTCAAGCCATCAGGGGCACAATCTGTCAACAACAACAAATATAAGTACTTTTAAAGATGGTATAGAAGTCGACCCTAGTGTCCTAGAGACTAGGATAGTGGGAGTATTCCATGTTTATTTTTGAAAAGGAGTATTGTTTCAAGAAAACACGTTAGTGTCACCCTGAATATGCCAGTTTGCAAAGCCATCCAGGATCACTTTGGTCCAAGCTCATATTTATGCCCGACATGGCAGCCTCTGAAATCCATATAAATAGCTTAGCTTCGACAGATACCTGCCTACGTGGCATTGTGGCAATCAACCAGCTGGCCAGTTGAGAGCTACTGTGCAAACCATAAAGTTGTCAGACCATCCTCAGATATCCAAGGCCAAGAAAAGAAGATAAAATGATCACTATCAAAGTCTTAAAATTTTAATGAACTCCAGTTCTCCACAAAGTGCACTTAATTAAAAGCTCTAATTCTTGGCAGGTTCCAGGTAATGCCAAGTCTAAGACACATTGGTGAAAATCCCCTACAAATATCAGCCTTCATTACCTGTTCAATGCAACTTAAAGAGAGTTAAACCTTCAAAAAGTTGTTCATGAACCTCGAATAGTCTTTGATAGCACTATCTAAAATGCTGGCCCAATCCCAATCTAGGGATGCAAAAGTTACCACAACAAGAGAAGAACCTTAAGTCATCCTTATATGCACACCAAACTATTCCGTGGTAGACAGCAAAGACATACTTCAGACCAAAAATTAAAAATAGTTTGCAAATCAAACAACTTTCATCACCTCTAAAATCAATAGATTTGACAACAAAACATCAAGCATCTCATAATAAGCTGAGAAGCAACAAAATTACCTTAGGATTAAGTTCAGGGTCCCCTCCGGAATCAATAATACATCCTTTTATCTTTTCTATAAGGTCTGGCCTATCCTGCAGATGAACAAGAATCGACCCATATCTACAAAAACAACAGAATAACACCAAATCATTATCATCATACATTACTTGTACACATGAAAATGGCCACCATTAGCGATTAAAGCCAGGGAGCTCCCATAACAACCAAAACTTTTGCACCCTTAGTAAAACCCCGTGAAAAAAAAGAGCCCTTGTTGATACAGATAGCCCACCAACTCTATGTCTCATACAAAGATCAAATCACAATCAATTAGCCAATGGCTAGTCAGAATTCACAAATGCACTCTAGAGTCAAGGCACGGTAGTCAAACTAAATCAACAAAACTTATTTAAACCTAAACTAGTTAAACACCATCCTTACCCATGCAATGCACCTAATTCCCAACATCCAAATCATCAAAAATAGCACTCCATCCACTTCAAAGTAACCGCCTTTATAAACTGTGAACACGAATATACTTGGTAAGCGATTGCAACCCCGCATTAGTATTCTAAACAAAAAATTTAGACAGATTCCAATAATTCCATCCTTAACCGTAAAATGCACCTAATGCCAACCATCCAATTTATCAAAAAACACACTCCCTCCACTTCAAAATAACCATCTTTATATAGAATGCACGCAAATTTAAGCAAAGGCAATCATGAATTAGTATTCTAAACTAATAATTTAGAAAATTAACCACAAATCAACAATCAAAGCAAAAATAACACAAACAAATAAAATTGGTAATTAGGAAAATGCAGAATAAACCTACACAAGCCAACCAGTGGTACTGAATGTGTGAAAGATCAAGCGTCGTTCTCGGCCTTGCGCCTTCGACAACCACGAAACGAGCTCATCCGCCAACTCTCGAATCCGATTCTCAACCTTCTTCCCCAAATCAAACCAAAGCACGTCTTTCACAGGAACAACAAATGTAATTGCATCAACCCCTTTTGAAGTATAAATTTCCGCGTATCTCCTCAAATGCTTCGGCGTCGCTCCTAACCACCCTAATATCACCGCCGCAACCTCGGGTTTCCCACCGGCGGCGGGAACTCCGGCGACCGGTGCCGATGCTTTGTGCCAGTGGAAGAAACCGCCATTGTTAAGGTCGGAATTGGGTTGAAATTGTGAATTGGAGGAGGAAGAGGAGAGAGAAAGGAAGAACCCTAATTGGGAAGAATTGGGGAGATTGAAAATGGGGTTTTTGAAGGGATTTGAGGAGAGAGAATTGTGAAATTGAGATTTGAGAGTGGGAGTGAGAGAAAGAGTGTGTGATTTGGGGTTGAATTTTGGGGAAAATTGACGATTTAGATTGAGATAGAAATTGCGATAACTAGGGTTTAGAATTCGTAATGGTGCTTCCATTGATTTCTGCATTTGGTTGAAGATTTTTGGATTTTAATGTTCAAAGCTACAGATTACAGTAGTCTTCTAGTAAGTGAATCAGTTAGCGCTTAGCAGTGTTCCCCGGAACTCTCATACGCTGTAATAGAAAATTAGAAACTCTTACTCCGTTTTGTTTTTTTTTTTTTTTTTTTTTTTTTTTTTTAACCTACTCAAATGTTTAATTTAGGGCTTGTTTGACATCAGTTTTGGTTTTCTGTTTCCTGTTTTTTTTTTTTTTTTTAAAACCAAAAACAGGAAACAAGAAAAAGGTGTTTCCACTTTTCTGTTGTCAGTTTTCAAAATTATCATAATTTTAATAAGTTTATAAAATTTTTGATTCATTATGAGACTCATATCATATACTTTTTAAAAATAAAAAACCAAAAAACAGAAAACCACAGCAATGCCAAACGAACCCTAAGTAATTAATTTAGTTCGGATTTCTTGATTTTCTTTTAAAAAAAAATAATTTGTTCACCTAATTTTCCATCCCTTTAGACAAATTATAATTTGAAGAAAAAATATGTTTAATATTTTTTCTTCCCCTTATTAACTTTTTTTTTTGTAAAAAGGGGTTGAAAATAAATTTAGTATCCGAATTTAGCAAAATTTAATGGGAAAAATAAATTTAAAAACACAAAACCAAATAAATTAGGGTTTTTTAGGAGTTTGTCGAAAAAATACTTCGTTAAAATTTTGGTCTAAACATCGCCTAGTTTATTGTTTTACCAAATTATCGCTGGAGTAAGTTTTTTTTTTTTACTAAATTGTCGTTAAGGGTGTTTTTTTATTTACCAATCTGGTCAATTAAATATAATAACCACATTAACTATTAACTATTACTCTGTAACTAATAAGAAGAATATATAACCATTGAACTATATCTTAATACATGTCTTTAATAGCAAAAAGAAATTATTATATGACAGCATTATATACAGAATTATTGTAATATACATGTTATAACTCCGACATCAATCAGGACCAAAAACTAGATGATTATTTAAATGACAATAATCAAGTGACATAAGCAGATTTTCCTAGAAAAAAAAAGTGACATAAGCTGATCTAGTGATGAGGTTATATAACACGTGTCCCTTCATTTTCATAAAATTGCTAACAAAAAAAAAAACTCCGAAAATAAAACGTGATATACATTAAATTGATGGTCTACCAATTTAATAATTCTACATCCGATAGTAAAATTCGTTATATGCATGGCGCGGTTAATGGCTACTAACGTGGCTAGTTAACCGTCACGGGTTCACGGAGAGTGGTGCATAGAGTTTTAACAAAATCTTTCACATTCTTATTGAAATTCCTCCCAATCTGCATAAATAAAACTTTATTAATTACTTCATCATGTGTTAGTATAAAATATGAAACAACAAAATTCACAACTACTCCGTACTATATTTCTCTAGCTTTTTGTAAGCACATTAGAAGCTAAATTCTACAAACTACAAAGTAATTTGATCTATAAAAAATTCACTAAATCTATATAATTATTAATAAATTAAAGATAAAGTATGCATGTACTGTATATAGAATTAGGTTGTCTAATACCAAAAAAAGTTCTTTCCCCCAAAGTTTAACAACTTTGACGGAAATTGACTTCTTTAATAAAATCCGCAGCATATTTTCATAATATATATATAATGTATATATATAAGGTCTTTTAACAACTTTGATGCTTATTTTTTTGATGTATATATATGAGGTCTTTTATATATATAAGGTTTTTTAATGTAAATGTAATAGTAATGTTACCTGTGCGATTATGGTAATGATGGCCAAGCTCTCAAAGGGTGTAACATTAGAATGTGTAATACATAAATCATGTTTGTACAACTCTGCATATAACTTGGGTAGAATCCATTTTTGCTTTGCACAACACACTTTTAAGAGTAGGGTCTCGCCCAATTTCTTAACTTCAATTTCTGGCAGTGATGAAAGATTGATAGTGTCGTTCTCATCGTTGTTACCATCACCATTATTGGAGTTACAACCACCACTCCCACCGGCACAATTGTCACCCATGGCCGAGGAAGAATCATTATCATTATCGTTATCGACTGTAATTTTACGGGATTTTACCATAACCACCATGGACTCTACAACCTTCTTTTCATCTGCCTTTTCTTCAAGTACCTTCACTTTCTCTTGAAGTTGCTTCACATATTTGATTGTCTCTGTTAACACCGTTGTTTTATCAACCTGTGTCCATAATAACACGTACTAATTAATGATTCACTGTGTAATTAACTATCTATCGCATAAAAATTCTTTAATAACTCAAGAATTAATCTTGTCATATATTATTGTGTCAAAAAATAAAACAATCTTGTCGTGTTTATATGGGTTTTTCAGTGGACGCATATAAGTAATTAATTAAGATGGTAATAGCCTAATAGGACAAGTTGCGCTGACATAAAAAAAGACATGACGCAACATAAGTGCAAGGTAGGCACAACACAAGTTCGTAAGCATCATATATACAGGTCCATGTCACGTTGGCTAGGGCAATACATAAGTCATCTAATATTTCTTATTAATTGCAACAAATGAAATTTTTTATGTATCAAAAATAATCTTTTTGTTACAATTAATAAGAAACGAAGGTAATATTTGGAAATTTCAACACAATACCTATCTAGTGGGCTTGCCCAGCCCACGACCATCTTTACATGCAACTAACACTTCAAACTATAGTACGTAGTAATAAATTAAGACGGTAATAGGACAAGTTGCGCTAACATGAAAAAGACATGACACAATAAATGTGCAGGGTAGGCACAACACAAGCTCGTAAGCAACATATATATTGGTCCATGATACATTGGCTGGGGAAATACATAAATCATCTAACATATCTTATTAATTGCAACAAATAAATTTTTTTAATGTATCACAAATAATTTCTTTATTGCAATTAATAACAAACGAAGGTAATATTTGAAAATTTCAGCACAATACATATCTAGTGCCTTAGTGGGCTTGGCCAACGTGCCCAGCCGGTTGTTGCCCAGCCCACGACCATTTTTACATGCAACTAACACTTCAAAATATACTACAGTAATAAAAATGTACTCATGCACGTATACAGTAACTGTGTTTTCAACTTTATTTTAATGCATCCTAAATACATAAAGAAATTAGAGATTTTAATTGATTGAAAGCCATGTAAAAAAATATACTCCCTCCATTATATATTACTCACAAAAAAAGAATATTTTTATGTCTCACAAATAATACGTGAGTAATATGTAATAGAGGGAGTAAAACAGACGGGGTAAATGTTTTTTTTTTTAAATTTCTCATATATCTTCTTAATAAGGAATTAAGGATTAGAATTTCACTAAAATCACATTAAGAAATACTTACCTTCTTAAGTCCAGGAACAATGGTGGAAAGAGAGATGAACATCTGAGTGATTAATTCACGACGCCTCCTTTCGGCTATAATATGATCTTGTACTTTGTGTGGTAGTCTTTTCCTCTTGGTACCTACACTCACTGCTTCCTTGTTATTTTGTTGATGACTCTCTTGCCCATATACATTAGAGTTTACAATAATGTTATCGACATTATTGTCGTTATCGTTATCGTTATCATTACTGTAAATGTTATTTCCATTTCCACACCTATCGGAAATATGGTGGGTTTCCATGACAGCATTGCAACTAAATTCTCCCTGCGAAGAGGCGGCGGCGGAGTTGCCTGCCGCGTGGGGAGGACAAGGAATGATTGGAAAGTCCTCGCCAAGAGTAGTAGCGACTGTGAGTTGATGCTCCTTAAAGGATGCTTCCATTTCCTACACATAATTGATCTATGCTAAATATTATTGACACTGAATACACAATAATATAACTTCGTTCTTATGTTCAACAAAATGAAACGACCGACAAATTTTTAAACTCTACACAAACATCACGTTTTTAGAAATTGTTGTACAAACTTGAATTGCGTTACTATGTACTTATTAATTAGTAGTTTAGACGTATTAAATATTAACAATAGATAGACGTATAATGCAATTTTTTATGTTCAACCAAATAAAGGACGACCAAAATTTCAAATTCTACACAAACAAGACACATATAGACATTATGGTACATGCTTAAACTATTAGTTAACGGATGTTATTACGTCATCGTATATAGAAAAAATTATGTCCAAAAAATTTGGAGTTAGTATTTTCTTACCAATTCAGTTAGCCATGCTTCCATAGGAGTCATCCCTCAATTTTTTTCTGTTCAAAAAAGAACTAAGAATACTTGAAATAAAGAGTACTACTCCGTAGTTTTTTATTTTTTTGAGGAAAGAGTACTAGTTGATTGTACGAGATTTTTTTGGGGAGAATTAAGACTTGTGCCAACTGCAAAGGTTTTAGAAACTAGACAATAGATATAGTGACGTAGCGAAGATCTCAACCTCAAGTGTTTCTTTCACATTTTCTCTTGATTGGTTGGTGAAGTACGTTATTTTTATTGATAACTCATCATTAAATCAAATTATTCCATCGAATTATAAATCCGTGATTTGTATTCTAAGAAAAATACTCCGGATTACAATAATCATTTGCTTTATATAATAAGTTTTTAATGATATGTAGTCTGCAGTCACTTGACATTATAATTTGGTGTCAATATACAATAAATTAGTCAAATGATATCAGTTCACTTTATAATTAAATTCTCTCACTCTCAAGTCTCAAAAGATAAATTGTATGAAGTATAAGCTAATGATACTACAATATACATCGTATAAATATTACCTCCGTTCCACAAACATTGCACCTTGTAAGGGATATGATGAAATATGATTTGGTAGGAGGAGAGATAAAGGGAAAATAACGTAAATTCTTTGTCCTACAAGGAAATTTTTAATTACTATGGAGTACGTATTTTAATTAAAAGTATATGCACGACACTTTACATGAGTTTTAGTAAGGGTAGATTCAACAAATATAAAAAAAAAAGTTTTTACATGAGTTTTAGTAAGGGTAGATTCAACAAATATACAAAAAAAAGTTTTTAAAAAGAAAAGTGTTGGTTGCAATTAATATAAAACCTCTTTAATCCAAACAAAGCATTTTTTTTTTTTTGGTTTTTTTAAAACAATAAACAAAGCAATGTTACGGAGAGGTGGGTTTTTAGTTCTAACTATTGGTAACAAATATGAAGTACATAGTATTACACATTTAAACCAACACAAACTAATTAACCAAGTGAGTTGAGCTTAATAAACAAATTGATTAACTAAGATTGCAGCAGTATTTGGCAAATTGACATGTATATAAATTATTAAATCACATTAATAAGGTTCTAAACTCATGTTTTGAGCCTTTGAGGCATTTCTGAAACAACAGAACACATGATAGATCCAATGAGAACTACACAAAAATGTCGCTTTCCATTAGGTTTTTCTTTTAAAGTTTATTTTAATTTTTTATAAATATGCATATGGCCATAATTGTTTCCTACTTCCTAATTTTGTTGCAACTAAGTTAAACTTAATTAAATCATTTAATAGTAGTCCCCCCCATCAAAAGGCCATGGGCCTTGAAGTAGTGGATAGTATGCATTCTTGTGTTTGTTATCTTTTTATGTAGCGCCAAAAAAAATATCTCTGTAGATCTCACGTTTTTAATCTGTCTAAGGACAACTAGACAGAAGGTGACAGTAATGTAACAAAAACTAACCTCATAAAATAGATAGAAATCTAAGGTCCAAAAATTTTGGCATAGTTTTTGTATTTCCGTACACTTTTTCCTTGTATAGAATTGTGTTACGAATTTTTTGACATTTTTGCGGACATTAAAAATAATGGTTGATTCGTACATGTAGCTGCCAAATTATGCCTGATTGAGTGGGCTCCTATAAAACAAAACAGAAATTTATACAACGTCCGTAATTAAATTCAAGTACATTAAATTAATGTCTCAATTCATGCTTTTCTTCAATGTAGTGTCTAAAGTTTCTAGCCTCATGCTCATATATATGTGGGCATTCATCATTCGACGTTATAATAATGGAACGTACTCTTTCCGTTTTATGTTGATGCTCATAATTGGAATGTTTTGATCAAAGAGCGTAATAAAACTTTTATTTTAAGCACTCATCAATGTACAAGGAAAAGTATAGTCGTGTGGTCCAATTGACGATCATGTACTTATGAACTCGAAGAAGCTCCAAAACCTAACAACAGGTTGCGAGGATGATAGGTTACATAGGTAGGCACAGTTAAGCATGGGAAGCAGTTTAAAATCAAATCTTATTCCTCCTACAGCAACACCATTTGATCCCAAAACTACACAAGATTCATAAGGTTATTGGTATTGTCTAAAGTATACAAAACATAGATTTATAAGATGCCATGTATATATTTAACCAATTAGGTTAGCTAACAATATTGCATCCACAGTTATAGACATATAGTGTTATGTACCTATGTGAAATGATTATATATACCGTTATTAGTTATTACATTTACAATATTAGTTACAAAATAAACAGAGGATTCTTCGAGCTAATGTTTGCAAAAATCAATTATCTTGACCCAAGACTTCTAACATTTGCACTAGAAAGAAAGTAATTATAACAACAAAGCTCAAACTGTCATGAGAGACCATTCACTTGTGACTGCCAATGTTCCTTCACCAGCCGAAGCCTCTCTACTCTCTCCGACTCAAGCCGCTTTTCCCAATACTCAGGACACCTGCGCGTTAGTATACAGTGAGTTTATATATATACACTTCATTTTCCGACTAGGATGATTGGGACAATAAACATACCTTTTGCTTAACAGAACGTTTAATTCGTCCAAGCGGATGGCATTACCATACACCCTAGCCTGAATAAACATGGAAGATGATCCAAATGATAAGTTTATTAGTGATGCCACTGAAGTTAAGAATCGCCAGTCACTGTTAATTAATTTGCTCATAAAGTTATAGCAATCTATCAATTTAAGTAGTAATGATTATCTATCTGTTTTACTTATTAATATGATTACATGAAAGGTCCAATTTCAATCATTGGTTGATTGACTACCTTAAATAAGGAGTATAATTCCATGAAAGCTAAGCTTACTGCATTTAAAATTTTATGGAATTATGTTTTGTGATTATTTATAGACCCAAATGCACGTTTTCAAAAGTAGTTACCTCTCGACATAGAGGACACTTCTGCTTTGGAGTAGCTGCCTTCAAGCCATCGACTATAGTCACTGAAGCAGCAGAGCAAGCACACATATAGCATAAGATGTGTCCACATCTAAGAGCCACCGCATCAAAGACTATATCCTGTTCATGTTTAACATGTCAATCATAAGAATATAATGTACAACAATGTACAAATGTCCTAGGACAATGCAAATAACTACTACTCTATGCAATTCATACCAACTTTTGTTCTAAATTACAAACCAAAAAACATTTTACAAAGGTATTATAACACAAGAGGATGGTTTATAGATCGAGAGTCTTTCTATATTCAAATTTATTATGGCTTCTGATCATTTGGATTCCAGCAAGAAAACTTAAAAAGTCATAGACACTGGTTTTATTAGCATGCATCCATTATATCTAAGAAAGTTACAAGCTAAGATTGACATACCAAACAAATAGGACAGATTAAATTGACATCGACCCAGAAGGAATCAAAAAGTACACAGTTCATCGACGGAATGTCATTGTTAAACATGAGGGCTAATTCTTCAAACAGCGACGCATCTGGGCTTGTATCTTTGAATTTTCTATCCCTCAAGTTGATCTGGAAAGACATGAGCTCATAGAACCAAGGAGATTGAAGGATCATGATGTGTTTAACCTGGGCACCTGATTTGAATTCCCGGCCTTTTTCACTCTTATGAACCTTAACAAACAACAAATCACTTGTAAGAAAGCAATATATCATGCATGTACTATAACACTACTCCATGGTCAACACTCAATAAAGTCCAGCTACCTAATCGCCTCACTATTAGGCAACTAACATGGGGTGAAATGTTAATACTCTGTACCTTCCAACCCCGAGCCTGACTGAGTATTTCAGACACTTTGCCTCATGTTTGTTGCCTAGTACTAGTTAAATTAAACATTTTCTACTCCATCTTACTAATATGCAAACTGTAACGTATTTAGAATATACCTTGTCATACTTTTTAAGGATTTTCCTAAATGCAATGGCATTAACCATTGCATAAATAAGCAGTTCTTGACCCTCTTTCATCAAAACATGATCTTTTGGCCCATTTCCTGAGCAGTCAAAGCAAGAGTACCTCCAAATGCCCCATGGGCATGACAACGGTGGATCAAGCAATTTCCGAGCCTCTTTGTCAAAACAATCAACCACAGCTGACATTTCGTCAAAGAGTGAAGGGAAAAAAATCCCATCACACACTGCAAGAAAGTGAAGGATTAAGGTAAACAAATTGAAAATAATGCTTCCAGATAAGAATAGGACCAAAACTAGAATTGCTTCCACATATAATAAAGTTAGTCACTTTCATTTTTTTCTGCCTATATCTTAGACATAAATGTGATGCTACTTCTAGTCTTCTACACTAAGAAAGGTGCTCGGGTAAAACAAGTTGCAAAAATACGAGCTGAGTTTTATAAATGATCTAATGATTATACCAAACACCCGTCTAAGCCATCTTATCTTAAACTCGGACTAAATTTAAGCCTTTGATTCTCCCTCCCCTATTACTTACCTGAACAATCAAGAGGACTAACAGCCTCATCCTCTTGAGACATCATATGATTCCTGCACTTGTTAATATTTTTCTTTAGCCTTCTGTATCCAATCCCGGGAAGAGTCTTCCCCAATTGCTTCATGTAATTTTCATAACTCTTGCAAAATTTCATCCTTCCTAATATAAATCCAGCAAACCAAGCAAACAAATTATCAACTTTACTGATAATATAAGCAAAGAAAAGGCGAAAAAACAGGCAACGACTGCTGGATCACTCTAGCAATGACCGAAAACAATTAAACTGAATTTCAAAAACTTGACAAATATATAATAATTCAGGCTGAAATTCATAATAAAATTTCAAAAAGGGTCACTAATCTCTATATATAGTGTACAAACTTGGTCTAAAACAATAAATTAATGAAAATTATACACATTACGCCCAAGTTCATGCTCATGTTATTGGTAAAGCATGTTTTTACTCATCGTTTTTCGCTCTCTCATGAGTCATGACCAAATCACAGTTGAAACCTTGTAAGATTCTTGTGAATATTGTGATGTTCATATACAGGGTCAACGGCTATAAACTGTATCAAATGCTAACTGATTGATCTTGCTTGCATTTTTTTCTTCCATCTTTTTACTCCCTCCGTTTATATTAATTACGGAGTATTGTTTATCGTTTAAGGTTATACACAAGTCGAGTTTTTCTGTACACTAAACCTAAATCGAGATAGTCTAATTGATACAAGATTACAAGGGATACAAAGAATAAAAAATTTTGGAAAAAAAATCAAATCTTTGTTTCCCTTTTCAAATTGAATCAAGTAAATGTCAAACCAAGTGGGAAAAATACGAGAAATTCAGTTCTGAACATGGAATTCGGACTAACCACATTATTTCTTCAATCGAAAAAATCGGAGCTTTAATCTACTTCATTTTTGTGGGGAGAGAGGTTTTATAAATTATTTCTTTAAAAAAATTAATAATTTATAGAATTGAATTGAATGAATGAATGAATGAGTACAAAATTGAATGAATGGAAACGAAATTCAGCAGAAAACTTACAGGTTTTAATTTTGAGAACGAGTCCAATGCCATGGCGGTTTCTCCGGGAACATGTTCTTTCCTATTCTTCCTTCATCTTTTGCTTTAAAATTACTTTCTTTGTATCTGTAATAAATAAAAAAATAAAAAAAAATAAAAATTACTTTCTTTGTTGGCTTCAATCGCTTCACATAGGGCTTGTTCCATTTACTAAATGAGCTAAATTGACTGGTTGAAATTGAACTGAAATGAGTTGTAATGAATATTTTATGAGAGAAGAAAATTAGAAGTTAAACTAATTAGAGCTTAAATGAACTGAAATTAAGCTAAAGTGAACAGACCCATACATTTCACACTATTTTATTACAAGTATTTTGATATTTGTATATGTTAGTTAAAAAATTAAACTAAAAAAAAAAAACTCATGTAGTAATTAGATATGTTAATGATTAAATAAGTGAGGTACTCCCTCAGTTTGTGATGTTCTAAATAATTTGTCCAACATTTTCCATATTTTGTATGGAGTAATTAAGGTATTCCAATTCAGCTTTTTTTATTTTATTTTTTTTATAACACAATTCAATACTTAAATTATAAGGAAAAATTGAAAAAAATAAGGAAATCCTCTACTCTTAAGCATATATTACTAGATGGTTCCCTCAAAAAAAAAATGTTAGATTGTACAATGAGTATTAAGATCCATCACCTATCATTTCCACTTAAATTGACTTGTCCCAAAGTCATTGTTCTCCTCAAGTCAATACTTAAATTATAAGAGAAAAATAAATAAGTAAGGAAATTCCTCTACTTTGAAGCATATGTAGATGTTACATAGTATAAATGTATAATAAATTAATAAGTAAACAAGGTCCATAACCTTGGTTTCTTAGCTCTAACCCAAAGTCTAGACACAAAGGTGAAAAAGGGAGATATTTTGCTGAAAATTGGCAAGGTTTTTTTTAAAAAAAAACAAGTAAAAATTGGCAAGAATTGGTTTACATTTGGCCACGCCTAAAAATTTCCCTCCAACCTCTATCCACATAAATAGTTAATTAAATCCATAAAATTAAATAAAAAAATGCTGCAAATATAAAGTTGAACAAAATATTTCTCCAGCAAAAAGTATACAAATTGAAATAGATTTTACAGAAAAAAAAAAAAAATTGTTTTCTTTAACTAGTTAGTATTATATTCATTGATATCTGGGTTTTCAATGTTGTCTTCTTCATCATGCCTTACATCATCAACTCCTGCATTCAAACTCAATAAACATCAATTAATTCTTCATTCTAGGGGCTTTTCTGCTCCTTTAAGATTCTGTCACCCAGGTATGCTTTTTTTTAATTTTTTTTTCTGCTCTACTTATAAATGTTGATTTTATTATTTGTTTTTTTTATAAAAAAAAAATTATAATTCTTATTTTTTTTTTTTTTTTTTTTTGGGTTGTATTGGGTTTAAAGAAGGGAGCAAATACCAAATTAGTAGGAGGGGTATTGCTTTGAGAGGAATTGTAGCTACTGGAATTACAGCCATGGAGTGGGCTTCCCTTGCTACCAAACCTGTACAAGGTACTCCACTTGTACCCTTTAATTTATACTCTCTCCGTTTCGAAATAATGGTTACACTTTAATTTTTCATCAAAGTAGGAGAATGTTGACAAATAGTGAGAGAATTGAAAAAGGTGTAATCTTGAAAGAAAATACGATACATGTAGCTAAAAGATTGTGTTAAGATATGAGATATCGGAAAATATTGTGTGATATATTTTCCGTAGATATCATTAAAGGAATAATATATTTAGGTTTATTTTATGTTAAGATATGATTTAGTGAATATATCATTAGGATATATGGTATATCTTATGGGAAGATTGTTTCCGATCTTATGAGCTTAGGTTTTGTATAAATATTCAACCTATTGATCAATAATAATCAAGCAATACAAAAAGCTATTCTATTCTCTTATAAATAATTTAACATGGTATCAGAGCCCAGGTTTGTTGGGCCGTTTATAACTGGGTATTTGTCAAGCCACTGGTTAAGGGGTCTCTATTGGATATTCATTCCCAAAGAGGATTTATATTGTACCTTCTGGTGTGCTCTAATTCTAAGGACACTCACAAGTGAGGGGGAGTGTTGGAACCCAATGTGTATCACTTGTGAGTGTCCTACATTGGAGAAAGATGAGAGGTGGTTCCACTTTATAAGGTAGAGGAGTAACTCCTACTATTGCCAATTGGTTTTAGTATGGAAGCTCCAAAACCTTGTTTGTGGACCAAACTCTCCTCCTCCTTATTCGGGTTGCCCAGGCTAATTTGTCAGATTGAGTTGAAGTAATATGTATAAAAAGAGAATGGAAATGCATAAATGTAAATCATATGTTATCATGATCTGAATTATAAGAACATTTGGTAAAAACAATTATATCTCATTAAAGAGATTTAGATGTGTATGGATACTTCTGAATATCCAAATTATTTAAAATCTTGGTTATATGACTTGTAAGTGAACAGATATACCATGATTACCAAGTATTGAAGGTCATATGTTTGTGTGTGCGTGCTTGTATATTGTTTAAGTCTGTCATATATCATAAATTAGTATATGAATTGCCACTTTATTTGTGATTCCAATGAATGCAGCCACTTTGTCACAGAGGCAAGAATATGTAATTGCATTCGATTTTCATGCTACAAATGACATCTTTGCAATTGAATTATAGATTTGGGGTTAAAATTTTCGTTTCTTCTAGTGTTCATTTAGATCAACATTAGTTTTCTTTTTGTTTTTTGGGGTTTGAAAGTGATAAAATGTTTTATGAAGATTCATTGTCTTTCCAGGGCTGGAAATACTGCCATACAAGCCAGAAGGATATAATTTTTGGAATTGGAGAGGTCACAAAATACATTATGTGGAGCAAGGAGAGGGTCCCCCAATTGTTCTTGTACATGGATTTGGTGCCTCGGCATTTCATTGGAGGTTTGTTGTTTGTTTGATCTTAGTGTTTGTGCCATATTAAATTCGAGTTTAATAATAGCTGAAGTCAGTATCTGACACTGCATAATTTGTAAGCTTTGTCCAAAATAAATTTCACAAATTCATCCATCATGAATCTTGTAGTCTTGTAAGCTGTTGATTTGGTGTACACTTGAAGGTTAAAACGTTTTGTGTGTTGTGAGCTTGTGACATATGTTAGCAGGCTCGGGTATTGGTGTCAGACATTGATTCATGTCCAATTGTAAAACTTGGCTATTATTTGATAAATTTCCATGGTTTGGTTTGTCCTTGTCCATGTTGGAGTGTTTAGGATCCGAGGAACACATAAGGTTGTTCCATGAGAACGCTAAAATCTACCAATAGATCAGATATGTGATACATTGTTGAACAAGCTAGAGAGCCCTTGCTTCCATTACGAATGTAACAGCTGTAAGTGTATAAGATCTCTTCTTTCATATGCAGATACAACATACCTGAGTTGGCTAAAAGGTACAAAGTCTATGCAATAGATTTGCTTGGGTTTGGATGGAGTGAGAAAGCCATCATCGACTATGATGCTATTGTTTGGAGAGACCAAGTGGTTGATTTTATCAACGAAATTGTCAAGGAACCTGCTGTTCTGGTAGGGAACAGGTAACTGATGGAAAAATAGTTTTTATCCTTTTAATTCTGAATATAGCTCTTCAGGATCTTTATTCGTAAATCTAAGAGCGCTTCTGATTTCCTATTTCTTATGTTTCCTAACGTGGTCTTTCCACAGCCTTGGAGGCTTTACTGTACTGGCATCAGCGGCTAGTTTGCCTGAAAAAGTTAATGGAGTTGTACTTTTAAACTCTGCTGGCCAGTTTGGAGATCCAAATGCCAAAATTGAAGAATCTGAGGCGAATATCTTGGAGAAGCTTGTAAAGCCTTTCAAAGATATTTTTCAGCGTGTTTTTCTTGGATTTTTATTCTGGCAAGCAAAACAACCAGCTCGTGTAGAATCAGTGCTTAAAAGTGTAAGTTGCTAACCTTGTAAACTCAAAGCAACTTACAAGATTTCAAGCACTCTTTTACTATACTGAAGTAGTCGATTTTGGGTCACTATTGTGTAGGTATACATAAATAGCTCTAACGTGGATGACTACCTCGTGGAGTCCATTACTCAACCAGCATCAGACCCTAAAGCTGGAGAGGTTTATTACAGGTATGCATGCTGCCATGCTTGCTCTGATGCATTCGCTTTCATAATTTTACTGTAATTATTTCATACTTAGTAAGCAACTAAGCATGTACATTAACGGACTATCCAACACCAACCCCCTAATTCTTCTGGCAATCAGACAGTCCAAATAGTTGAGAGCATCACAATCCTTCATTGTGAGCATGAAATTGCTTCTAATTTTGGTCCTTTGGTGATAGATTGATGTCTCGGTTCATGTCAAACCAAAGGAAGTACACACTTGACAGCCTCTTAAGCCAATTGTCTTGCCCGTTATTACTGCTCTGGGGAGACCTCGACCCTTGGGTTGGTCCTACCAAGGCCATGAAGATCAAGGAATTCTATCCTAATACAACAGTTGTAAATCTTCAAGCTGGACATTGCCCTCATGATGAAGTCCCTGAGCTCGTCAACACAGCTTTATTGGATTGGTTGTCGAGTTTAAACCTCGAAAAATCACCGTTGTCAACCCCTGTAAATGTATCATGAAATTTTGATGAGTATATATATATAGTTTGTACATTTGTATCAACTCTTAAGTGTAAGTATACTGTAAATTTTCATTATAATGTTTTATAGAATAGCATTATTAGTCATAAAAAAAGTTATTGCTTTGAACTCCAGAATTTCAAGTCAACTAAGATCATTTGAGGTTCCCTAACCAAATAGGTTATGATGAAATATCAGGATATCCTGCTCACAAGGTCGCAAGGGCATATCTCAAGTAAATTTGGTGAGTTGTTTTTATAAAAAGATCATGTAATTATGAAAACTTTGCAAGTATTACTTCCTGTATTCAAAAGACAAGATTTCGAGAACTGCTTAGTGCAATACTACAATATACAACAAACAGGATGGGTTCCAAACATCTACAATGTAATATGAATAACATTATGATTCCTTGTCTCATTTACAGCACCCCACTGCAACATTCTTGTCGAAATTTTCGAAACATGCCCTTGATATGTTTGAATACTTTATATCTTCGGAGCAAACCACAGCATACAGGGACTGCAGTAGGCAACACAGATGCGAACACATTTGAGAAAACTCTGGCACCCTTGGGTGAAGTAGCAGTTACAGCAACATTAAATGTTATGTAAAGCGCTAAGAGACATATTTGAAGCTCTGTCTGTAAGGGGAATTTCGACGTTAATTTAGCTATCATGTAAGCAGAGACATTAAATCCAATAGAATTGCAAGAAACTAACAAGATAAATGAAGCTAAGTCATGGGTGCCCAAGACAGAAGTCCCGGCAAGATGGCCTTGATTATCCCCTGCCATACACTACCAGGAGGGCTGATACCAACTTGGTATGTTGCTGTTGCTACCAACACAGCTATGACTAGAAGTGCACTTCGAACATCACTTGGTGAATCTCTTCCACTGTGAAATCTGAAATAATCAACGAGATCCTTTGAATGGTCGTTTACTAAAGGATCGTGAGTTGATGAAGTAAAAGTTGTGTCATGGAGGTTAAGATCTTGAGCTTTTAATGCCCCAGCACCCTGAAGTATTTCCTGAATTTCTCTGTCACCGGCTTCACTTGGGAAAATCAACAACAAATCTAGTGCTGTCAAACCACTCTTGTTTACTGCATTCACTTCCAGAGTCCTAGAATTGTTCTCCAGAAGCAAATCCACAGCCTACAATCAAATTTAGAAATTTTCAAGGAAACAATCAATATTTGTTGGGCAGAAATCTATATCTTAACTAGTAAAGGAAAAAAAAAACAGATCATAGTTCAAAGATGGCAGCAACATCATAGTTCAGAATTCCCTGAGTTATCTAAAAACTTCGTAAAGATGACACTTGCCTGTCTTTGCTTCTTCCAGACTGCAAGATGCAGGACGGTATTCCCATGTTCATCCTTTCTATTCAGAATCTCTTCTCTGTCCATTTGCCCGGTCCAATCCAGAAAAACCCGCAAGCTCTCAAGCTGGAAGCTCTTGACAGCAAGATGCAAAGCAGTCTCTTTCTGAACCGTCACATCCTCTATGCACCCTTCACAATTAGATAGCATTTCACTTATTAGGTCAACCCTCCCTCCTAGCACTGCAAGATGTAGAGGTGTTGCGCCTTCTTTGCCTGCAAGACGACATATATTTGAGTCGATTCTGATCATCTCTCTAGCTATCTGTATGTGTCCACATCCAGATGCTAAGTGCATGGGGCTATATCCTTCTGCATTCACCTGCCTATCAAATTCAGGCTTCAGTTCCAGTATTTTCTTTGCAAAATCCAAGTGCCCCGCAGCAGAAGCAAAATGTAAAGGATTCTGAGCACATATAAGTGGGATTTGATGAAGGATAAGGGGATCCCTTGCTAGGAATTGGTGCAATTCCTCAATATCCCCTGTCTGCGCGGTCTGGAACAATCTATCCATCACTGCAGATGAAAACTCCTTAACCATTGCATCAAACATCTACGTTCTTTCATGGAAAGTGATTTGCAACTTAAACTTAGAATGTAATTTCAAACTAATGATAAACGAAACGTACAAGAACACAGAAAAAGTCAAACAATGATGTTAGATAGAATATAATCTATAAATGTGAAAATCTAAGCTGATTCAACCATCTCACAAATACATTGAAACTTTGAACTAGGGAATATATTAGAATATTTATCACTTCAAAAGTCTTAGAATATTTTATATGATTATGGTCATAATCATCGCCATGTCAAAAATTATTTAGTCAGAGTTCAGTTGATAGGTGTAAGAAGCTAATAGGGTTTTTAGCATGACATGATCATAATCTATATTAAATAGCTTAATTAACTAAATTATGTTTTCTGTTCTTTCCAACAAATACGGCTTTGAAAGCTACAATAACTTGTAATATAATTGGAAGAAAGAAGCAACATGATGAGTCCCTGAGCTCGTCAACACAGCTTTATTGGACTGGTTGTCGAGTTTAAACCTCGAAATATCACCGCTGTCTGCACCTGCAAATGTATCCTGAAACTTTGATACAATTATATAGTTTGTACATTTGATCTTTGAAATTTCACGTCAACTAAGATCATTTGATCATACCTAACTTTATAGGTGACGAGACTAATGACAAGATATTTGGATACCCATTTTATTCACAAGGGTATATCTCAAATAAATTTGGTTAGTAGAATTCTGACAAGGTCATGTAATTTAGAAATTACTTCCTGTAAAGAGTACTGAAAAATCAGTTTTTAGAGAGTTTCTCAAGAGTAATCCAATTACAACAAATTAAATGGGTTCCAAAAATATCTACAATGAATTATGAAAAAGATTATGATCCCTATTCTTATAGATTTTCAGCACCCCAATTCAACATTCTCTTCCAAATATGCAACTTATGCGTCTCATACGTTCAAAAACTCTAAATTTTCGGAGCAAACCAAAGCACAGTGGGATTATAGTAGACGTCACAGACGTGAACACAGCTGTAAAAGTTTTGGCGCTTTTGGGTGAAATAGCACTTACAGCAACGTTGAATGTGACGTACAAAGCTAAGAGACATATTTGAAGCTCTGTCTGTAAGGGGAATTTCGCTGTTAATGTAGCTATCGCGTAAAGAGAGACATTAAATCCAATAGCATTGCAGGAAACTAAGATGATATATGAAATTAAGTCATGGGTGCCCAAGACGGAAGTTCCAGCAAGATGGCCTTGACTATCATCCTGCCATACATTACCAGGAGGGCTGATACCAACTTGGTATGTTGCTGTTGCTACCAGCACAGTTATAACTAGAAGTGCACTTCGAACATCACTTGGAGAATCTCTCCCACTATGAAATCTGAAGTACTCAACGAGATCCTCTGAATGGATGTTAACTGAAGGACCGTCAGTTGAGGTGGTAAAAGTTGTGTGGTGGAAGGTAAGTTCTTGAGCTTTTAATGCCCCAGCACCCTGAAGAATTTCCTGAATTTCTCTGTCACCAGCTTCACTTGGGAAAATCAACAATAAATCCCGTGCTGTCAAACCACTATTGTTTATTGCATTCACTTCCAGAGTCCTAGAATTGTTCCTCAGAAGCAAATCCACAGCCTACATTCAATTATTTTGTAAAATTTGAAGGAAACCATCATTATCCTGCTTGACAAAAATCCAAATCTAAACTAGGAGAGAGAGAGAGAGAGAGAGAGAGAGAGAGAGAGAGAGAGAGAGAGAGAGAGAGAGAGAGAGAGAGAGAGAGAGAGGGGAGGGGGGGGGGGGAGATCATCGTTCAACTATAGTATCATAAATATGCACAACAGATGATGACATATATTGCAAACAATAGTGAATTCCCTGAGTTATCAAAACAATTAATTATAGAAAAAAGATATTGAAACATAACCTTGTACCACATTTGGAAATAGCTTTTGATGCAAGAATTATTCTACTGATTTATATTTACTGATTGATATGATTGTTATTAGTTGTAACTGAATTTTACTAATTATAAATGATTTTTGTTGATTCACTATTGTTTTTGTCATATTCAGACAATGCAGTTAGCCATTTCCTGATTTATTACGGATTTAAACAGACCTTTCTTGATTTTATTTAATAAGTTGAAGAAAACGGGTTATAGCCAAGGTCCTTGTTTACTAGTTTTGAATGCAGATATAACATAGTAATAATTCTAACAAAAAACTTCATAAAGATGAGACTTGCCTTTCTTTGCTTCTTCCAGATTGCAAGATGCAGGATGGTATTCCCATGTTCATCCTTTCTATTCAGAATCTCTTCTTTATCCATTTGCCTGGTCCAATCCAACAAAACCTGCAAGCTCTCAAGTTGAAAGCTCTTGACAGCAAGATGCAAAGCAGTGTCTTTCTGAACCGTCACATCTTCTATGCACCCTTCACAATTAGCTAGCATTTCGATAATTAAATCAACCCTCCCTCCCAGCACTGCAAGATGTAGAGGTGTCGTCCCTTCTTTGCCTTCAAGTCGGCAAATATTTGAGTCAATTCTGATCATCTCTCTAGCTATCTGTATGTGTCCACATCCAGATGCTAAGTGCATGGGGCTATAACCTTCTGCATTCACCTGTCTAGCAAATTCAGGCTTCATTTCCAGTATTTTCTCTGCAAAATCCAAGTGCCCAGCAGCAGAAGCAAAATGTAAGGGATTCTGAGCACATATAAGTGGGACTTGATGAAGGATAAGGGGGTTCCTTGCTAGTAGTTGGTGCAATTCTTCAATATCCCCTGTCTGAGCGGCATGGAACAATCTATCCATTGCTGCAGAGGAAAACTCATCAGCCATTACACCAAACATCTAGTTTTTTTCATGGAAGGCGGTTTGCAACTGAATTTTAAAATGTAATATAAACTTTTTTTTTTTGAGGGAAAAATGTAATATAAACTAATGTTAAAAGGAGAAAGAATGAGTCAAACAATGAAAATCAGAAGGTAGAATATAATGTAGAAACCTTAGCTGGTTCCAATATCTTAAGTCTTACGAATAATGCACAAGAAAATATAATATAATATTACTTTTCAAAAGTTTTCTAATATTTTATATCATCATGGTCATAATCATAGCCATGTCTAAATTATTTTGGCGGAAGCTTGTAAATAGTTGGTTAGATTGTTCAAAAGATAGGTGTAAAAAGATAATAGGATAGTTACTATTAAGTATGAGATGGTCATGGTCAAATCTATATTAAAATATAACTTTGAATGCTACATTGCCTTGTAAAATAACTAGTAGAAAGATGCATCATCACAGAATTTTTTTGTCAGGAGGACTTAAGCATTGGGGAAAATGTGTAAACTTCTAGAAACAAAACAATATGAACCTAATAGATTAACAGTCCAATAATTTTAAATAATTGCTTCCAGACATAAATAAAACCTACTAGATAGAACAAATTAGGGATTCTTACCATCTTTGTCTCAAATACCATGCAAAAGCCTCTGTTGTTGGATTGTTGCCGTAAAATGAGTATATAAATCATGCATGAGCAGCAATTTTCAGTGTTGGCTACTCCGTTCATACCTGCAATAAGCAAAAATTTGGAAATCACTAATCATTTCTACCTCTATCATCATGAGAAAGTCTGACTGAAAAATTACACAGAAATTGTGAGCATAAGACAAGAAGATATGTCCTTCAGCAAACCTTTTTCTCTAGAAGGTGAAAGATAAAGGAAAATGTGTGCTCCAATGTCCACCTATATTGCATTACTTTGGAACTTTGTCAGCTCCTTACTGTACAATTATACACATGTAGCTCCAGCATTCAAGCCAATCTTGGATTGACTACAGCATTCAAGCCACAATTAAAGGAGAGTCAGTGTGAGTGTGTGACATGTCTCAACTTGCAAATTAACTGTAAAAAATGTTTTATACGTTTTTTGTTTAACATCAAAGTAAACACGCATTGTCCAGGAAAATTTATCAAAACAATATCATGTCTAATGACAATGCTCTGAAAGGAACAAAGCAACTAACAGGGTAACATACAAAAGAAAAAAGAAAAAAAAAAAAGAATCATATATAGACTATAAAAGGCAATGTACTGATTATGTACAAGCTCGTCTTAACAATTAGTAACACCACTTTCTACTGCAAATTTGTGACTACATTTATTCTTTTAGACACCATGAGTATACATGTGTTATGCTTTCTTCAATTTTTGGTCATTCATCTCTAAGTATGCCACTGCTGCTAGTTGATTCCTTCTTCACATTGTGCTTCTGCGGAAAAATTCAAGAGAATGAAAAGTCCTGATTAGAAACATTGGTACACGCAGCAAAATGGTTCAGAATATAACCTAAACAGAAACAACTGGAGCTCTGAACTATTATATCACTAAACAATGAAGGATTTAAAAACTCAATCACATAACAAGTAGCAGAAGTGCAAAACATCCTCACCGGTTTTGCAGTGCTGAATGGATTATACTTGTATTTGATCATATGTACAATTTGACGTATCATTGTCAGCACAAAGAGAAAGGCCCAGTAACTTGACAATATTGGCCAGAAAACCGGTACATCCAACACGGATATGAAGGTCAACATAAATGCAACGATAAAAGCCTTGGTGATGGCATACCTGAAATTGAAATTGAAATTGAAATTGTAAAACAGTCAAAGACATGCCAATGTACACCAGAAATTCCAAATTTTAGATTTAACTTAGAAACCTGTAAAATATGAACTGGTTGACCACAGGAAACACGAACTGAGTAACATAAACATATTCATCTTAAATAAGCAGTTAGCAACATGATTCTTCAGATCACAAGATCCACGATATTTATGGTGAAAGGAAATAAGGCCTAAAAGCTGGACTAAATTAGGAACGGAGGGAGGACAGTGACTACAGGGATTACAGGTTTCATGGGCCCTATAAAGCATGTTTCTATCCGTAAACATAAGCAGCACCTGCATGTAAGGCTCATATGGAATGTGCCAAGTACTATTCCATCTAGGCATCCTGTAGAGGTAAAATCAACCTTCTATGGTGAACGGCGGTTCGACACCTGTAGAGGGCATTTACTTCCACATTCTATAACATGTTCATTTTTACATTCTATACTATAGTCATACAGTATGTTACATGGACTCTTCATTTCAACTCAAGTACCCATGTCGGACACTCGACACTTGGATATGGTATGACACTTTGGACACTCACTTTTAGTTCAAAATCAAGGAAAATTTTCACAAAATAGCCAAGTTAGACCCTTACCTATGTCGGACATGGGTACTCAAGTCCATGTAACATATAGGTCATACCACTTCTCAAAATAATTCTCCTTTATTTCATAATTTAAAGGCTCCATGCTTTCATTAATTCAATTGTCACCCTTAATTTCTTTCAAAAACCATTGATAAAAATATAAAATTACAAAATCTATACGATATGATTTGTATGATAAAGTAATGTCATAATATAATTTTGAAACTTTTGTGAAAAGAAATACTTAATTATGGCTAGCTTTGAGATTAACTACGTATTTTTAAAAAAATAAATTAATTAATTAATAAAAACTTGCAAGAAATTTTGAAATTGGTAGCAACGCATCACTTCCAACTAACGATAGGTGTTAGGGTTGAGCCGGTTGACATGTAGAGTATTAACATCCCTAGCAGGCTAGCAAAACTTATTCAGCCTGAACAATTGGACAGGAGCTAACATAATTTTAGAAAATACCAAGCAGGCTTGAAAGGAAAAAGTAGTAGGTCCTAGTGAAAACTGTGAACCTTACTCATTAAAATTTACATATGAAGCTTTTAGTATGGCAGTGGCGTCTGGTGTGGGGATAACAAAATATTCATGACCGAGGACAAGACAAACATCAAAGTGGCAATGTATATAATCTAGATGGTACCTTCAGGAAGATAATTGTTTAAGCTAGCATATCAAAGACAGTCCTTAATAAGTTAATCATGACCATATGAAATAAGAGAAATCCATTACCAAAACCGAAACTCAGGCACGCGTCTCTCAAATGGCTTATATTCATCACTATCTCTGCCCGGAGAGGCCGGAGAGGGAGGAGCTCCATCTAGTCCTTCAAGCCCGGGATCAACATGTGGAGAAAAAAATCCAATCAACAAATTCAACACATAAGTGGCCAAACCATAGGATATAACATGGAATCCCCTGAACCAATAAACCCTCAAAATATAGATCATTGCCACCCCAATCGTTACAAGCCATCTCCGCAACAGATGAGGCACCGATCTATCCAAGTAAAGCTGAAATTTCTTATGTAGGTTGCTTCTCCAATTTGGAAGAGGCATAGGCTCTTCACTATCACCAATCTCTTCATTCTCAGAGTTCATTTAGGCTAAATACAAAAGCCTCGCTGTAGCACACACAATAAATTGTACATCAGTGAAACAAAAGTCCGAATGTGGATCCTGCCTACATGCTATGAAATAATCTGAAACCTTAAAAAACAAGGTAATAGAGTAATAACAAGAATTTGACTCGCAACCTATTTAATCAGATACATGAATAAACGGTAATCACAATAAATATTCTTAGTTAATCCTCTGTAACAACTTTGTGGTCAAATTAATATTCCTCCTTTAATAATATTACATCACATCCTCCCTGCTATGTTCTTTCCCAACATCCATCCAAATTTAGCATCCATTGAACCCCTACAAGGCTACAAGTGCAACGACTGCGGCCACTCCAGCCCGGCCCACAACAAACAAGCAAATTAAAGGAAAAACAACCAGGGCAACTGATCAAGCAGCAACTTCAGGAATCAGGGTCATGAAGACATTAATGTATTATCATTTCTCTTTTCTAAGGATCTATCAATTCAATATGGTAATCCACAAAATAGGTTTACATATACATGAAATTGATATTCTAACTAATCACATATTATTGAGATTTCCTGCAACCCTAATTAGTGATAAATAAGTTACTTTTTCTTTCAAATCACTTCAAATGATGCTCAAACAACAAAATTACATGTGTGTATATGAGTAAATTACGCTTTAAGCAAACACAGAATCATAATTAGTATTATACTCCGTATAAAATAAGCAAACAAAGTAACTAATTACATACCAAAATAATGAACTAATCATGTAGAATCATAGCATAAACCCTAAATTATAATGAAATGAAACATGATTAAAACCTTGTAATTGAAGAATGTCAATGATTTGCAGCTAAATTAAGCACATCAGAACATTGAATTTGAACAGATTAGACATTTCAAACCTTTAATTTTGAGTTGTTGAAGAGAATCGTAAGATGAATCCTCGAAGTTCAAAATAGAGGATATAGAGGGAAGACAGAGGAGAAGATATTTGGGGGTAATGCTTAAACTACGTACTATTCTTCCCAGCAAACTTAATTAAGATGGTTAATTTCGTTGATACTTTGTCAATTTTTTCTGGATTTCTTGCACGGCCAATGTTTTGAATTTTTCTTAATCCGTTTTTGGCATCTTGTATACGGAAAACGGAATACTTTTTTTTTTTTTTTAAGCCGGAAAACGGAATACTTACTCTAGGGGTCTAAGGGTTCAATCCCCAATACTCGATTCACATTGAATAATGATCCCTTATCCTTCTAATCTATTCCCTCCGTTTTTAAATATTTAGCTCTATTTTTTCATGCGCGGAGTTACGGGAGAAATTGAAAAAAGTAATTAAATATGGAGGTAGTGGAGCAAGTATTTAAAAACGGAGGGAATACTCCCTAGTTTTCAAAGTGATTTGGCCGCAAATACTAGTTCTAATCAATAGTGAGAATTGGCGTCTGATTAGGGTTCTTCTACTTACCTTAAAACTTTTTTTTTAAGGGGTGATTTTTAATGCTACGTGCGAATTTTTGGGGATATGCTATGAAGATTTATGCAAGCCAACCTCAAATCATTTTGAGACTTATTCCCTCTATGTTTTAAGTGTTGTACTTTAAATGCGGCCGTGTTTTAATATGTGTTATACTTCCTTTTCTTAGCAAAAAGCTACATTATAATATTAGATCAAAATTTCAAATTGTATTTGAAAATTTCATACATGATGAAACAAATCTAACAAGATTCAATTTGATATTGTTAATGCTTATAAATTAATACTACGTATGAAAATATTGTCAAATTTCAATCAATTTAATACATCATATCATACCAAAAAAAGAAAAATCAAATTAGAATATTATGATTCATTGCAAAGTACGAGACTTGAGCCCCACACTGATCATATAGGAGAGACTGATGTGGGGGTTTTATATAGGACAATGGGCTCTCGTCTTCATAAGCTGCTTTTGGGATAGCTCTCTTATTGTCATGTATCAATAGTATCAGAGCCAGTTACTCATTACGTCCACATGTGATTGATAGAGGTAACACCGCCACTCATCCGGGGGTTATGAACCTTCTCTTTTCGTCTATCTAGTGCAAAGCCTGTGACATTAAGGACATGTGGCTTGCGAAAAAGGGGTGGTCCATCCCAAGGCATGAGACTTGAGTCCCACATGGGCATGTGGTTTATATGGGGGCAAAAGACTCTCCTACCTCTTCTTGAATCAGGTTTTGGACATGACTCTCCTATTGCCATGTATCATATACCAGACTAAACCGGTTTTGTCAATATTTTCGATGTCATGGGCTAATGCCGATTTAGCTGCATATACTGTTTTTTTTCCTTGTTTGTATAGACTCACACATTACTTTTTCATTTTCCTTTCATATTGACTCCCTTAGGGTCTATTCTCATACGATTATTTCAGTTCAGTTCAGTTTAGCTCTAATAAGTTCAGTTTAGTTCAACTCTAATAAGTTCAGTTGAGTTCAGTTTATTTCAACTCTAATTTCCTTCTCTTATAAAATATTCAGTCCAGTTCAGTTCAGCTCAGCTCTAATAAGTTCAGTTCAGCTCAGCTCTAATAAGTTCAGTTCAATTATTCGGCTGTAATAAGTTCAGTTCATTTCAGTTTAGCTCTAATAAGTTCAGTTCATTTCAGTTTAGCTCTAATAAGTTCAGTTCAGCTTTAATAAGTTCAGTTCAGCTCTAATAAGTTCAGTTCAGTTTAGATCTAATAAGTTCAGTTCAGTTTAGATCAACTCATTTCAGTCGATGAGAACAGTCCCTTAGTTTTTCATTAATCGTTTCCATCTCACAAATAATTAGAATTATTTCCACTAAATCCACCCATACTTTATATTATTCATTTCCACCCGTCACTCATAAACCTTCTTAAAATCACACATTAATACAAAGTATTCAAATATAATTATACTCATATTTTATATGTAAACGTATTTTGAATAAAGAATATTCGCATCCTGAAATTATATAGAATAATACTCGTAAATTCGTAATCCAATAGATGACGGACCAATTTGGACGACGGTTGAAAATGGAATCTTAGCCCAAAAATCGACAAACATTTTTTTTTTTTTTTTCAAAAAAGGAAATCGACAAACTACTCGTACAGCAATTTTCCTTATTCTAACCCCTATCCCACACACATTCATAAGGGGTGGTGGAGTGTTCTAGCAAAAGTGTGTAATATTGTTTAAAAATTGGGTGATTAAAGTCATCTAATTACGTCTACAAAATAACTGATAGAAAGAGAGAGAGAGAAAAAAAATCTCATAATCATACTTTGCTTTCAGTGACTCTCAGTAAGTTCTTTTCATCGCCTCTCTCATATTGTCATATATTTGGACTCCTGTTCAATTTTTTTACGCTAATTTTTTTATGAAAAGCTTCTTTTTGTTGCTGTATTTAAATCTTAATCTCATATTTATGGATGAATTCATGTGGGTTAATTGCTACCTTTGTTTTTATTGGATTAATTGCTACCTTTGTTTATTATTTTTATTGTGTACTCCAGATAATCAATTCATTCAGCTGTTGAATGATTTTAATTACTGTATTTTTATTTGGAGTTCATAATTTCTGTTTGATGATTTATGCTAAAGGGCAGTTGTAAATTTGTAATTGTCGTGGTTGCTGCATAATGCTTAAATGCCAAATTTCATATTTCATTTTTTTTCCCAGAAAATGTTTTGATTAGGTCTTCTGTGTGCTTTTGAAGGTGATAGTGTGATTGGGAACTTGGTTGTAGGTTATTTGATTATCAATCAATGAAGGGTTTTATCTAGTGTAACTCATTTGATGCATAAGAACTAGAAGCTGGTGCAATTCCTGTTTTAGTTGAAATCCCCCGGGTGGTCTAGATGACTAGACACACCGTCTTTAAAAAGCAGGCCACATTCTCATCGTTTGATTTGTATTGGACTGGTGTGTGATGCTTACCGGCTAGGTGAATATTACATTTGAGTAGGGATTTGGCCGACTTACCCGTGTTTATTGTTAGGTACGGAATAGTTACTACTGATCCGATTGATTAGAAGTAGAAGATTACAGGGCCTAACAAATCTAGATTGATTGTTAGATGATTGTCATTTGTCAAATATCTTTTTCCCTATCCTATGAAATTTTATTGGAGTTTTGTCATTGTATTTGATCTATGGTTTTCATCATGTGTATGTATTCAGTTGATTTATTGGTTTCTGTTTTGGTCCTGTAGAAGGAAACAATGACAAGCAATGAAGGAGAAGGTAGTACTCAGGAAGCTTATTCAGGGTTTCCTCGTGTCGCTCTGAATGAAAGAATCCTTTCCTCCATGACCCGACGATCTGTGGCTGCTCATCCCTGGCATGATCTGGAGATTGGTAAAGTGTAGATGAATTTTTGCTGTTCTTTCAGTCATGATACAGATATTTTGCCATTTGCTCATTGTTCTTAACCTTTGATAATCTTCAATTTCACTTATTTACTGTATTACTCATTATGTTATGGTTAAGGATCATGTACAAATCTTTCTCTGATGCATATTTTTCATCACTTATATCTGATTTATGAGAATTTGGGAAATATTTTATCATCATTTGCTCAGAATAATTAGGCATCTGTCAGATTGAAATCGGTTGGGACCTGGGACTGCTATCGTATAATTTATTAGGTTTACCATGTATAAGGTATTACCTGTTTTGCAATGAAATATATGTTTACCCTAATTTAGCAGTTGAGTACTGCTATAAGCTGCATGTTGTATCTGTCTTCATTGTTGGTGTTGTTGGCTAATTTACATCTCTGTTTTATGGAACATACGGAGTAGTTATATGACAAGGTTATCAGTGTAGTCTGTATTTCTGACATGTGTGTGGTTTTGTAGGACCTGGCGCTCCTACAATTTTCAACTGTGTAAGTACAATGCTAACAACCAATTCATCTTGTTGTATGATGATGATTTTCTAAACTGGACTTGATTTTGCAGTGTATTGTGTGGCTGACAGACAAGTAAAATTTTACTTATAGCACTTAGTTGCTTGGTAAATGTCTAATAGTACTTTATCCTATGACATTAATTGTGATATTCAGATCTTAGATTTTTAGGTTTAGTATGTGATGGTAGGAAGTATGGCTGTCAAATCATCTTTCCTCAAGGGCTTTTGCTGTCATATTTTTGAGCATTGGCAACTTAGTTTCCTTTTTTCTTCCAAAATGATTTTACATTGGAATTTGCTTTTCTTTTTCTTTTTTTTTTTTTTTGGGGGGGGGGGGGGGGGGGGGGGGAATGTGTGGTGTCTTGCTCACACTCTACAATTTATTTGCACTACAGGTTGTGGAGATAAGCAAAGGGAGCAAAGTCAAGTATGAGTTGGACAAGACAACTGGGTTGATTAAAGTAATGCTAGTTTTGAATCTTTTGATTAATTTTATCCTTAGATAATATTAGGTGCTTTATGATTTGCTTTCTCATTTCCAACCTTTCATTTTTTCTGTTGTTGGAACATCATTTTCTTGGGGATACTTTTTATGAATGTTTTTGCCTAAATATCTACCTTCAATGTAAAAACACCTCTCCTCGACCTTTTGCGGTATATCTGTTCCTGTTTTACTTCTTGGAGTCTATTTTGAGGACATCTTGGGAGGGTTGTGTTTAAATAATTAGGAGTTAATGGATAAGGGGACTGACCTTTTTTTTTAAAAAATAAAATAAAAAAGGGTGTTCTATGGGTTGGTGTGAGTAACAGCATTTTCTATTTTTTCCTCCTTTCTGAAGGCAAAACTCTGTGATGCATCATTTTTTTTACTAGAGGCATTAAAGCCAATCCACTCCCCCTTCCCTGGGGAGATATTGGCAAGAACTTAAAATGGATGCTTCTTTGTAGGGCTGAATGGCCTACATCTTATTACGCATTGCACAAATGCAAGTTGTGTAACTGATGCTGATCTTTACTTGTAGGTTGATCGGGTTCTTTACTCATCAGTTGTTTACCCACACAATTATGGTTTCATCCCACGTACCCTTTGTGAGGACAGTGATCCTATGGATGTGCTTGTACTGATGCAGGTAGCAAATAAGCTATTTTAATCTTAATTATATGTTATGTGTGTAATTTAGCCTTCGTATAATAACTCATGGATGAAAATTATCTTTTCACATTTCTTCAATTTTCAGGAGCCTATACTTCCAGGTTCTTTCCTTCGAGCTCGGGCTATTGGACTCATGCCTATGATTGATCAGGTGAATGTCTTTCCCCCACCTTCACCTCTCCTGGTTTAGTAATGTGCAGCATCATACAGTTATTTGGTCCTACCATAAACTGAAATGCCAGAATTCAATTTTCTAAAATTTAAGCTTAATATATATGTGTCTCAGGGTGAGAAAGATGACAAGATTATAGCAGTGTGTGCCGATGATCCTGAATTCCGTCACTACACAGAGCTCAATGAACTTCCTCCTCACCGCCTTGCTGAAATCCGTCGTTTTTTTGAAGACTGTATCCTTGCTTGTCATCTTTATCATTTGTTACCTTGAGATTATACTCATTATAGGTCTAGCTTTTATTTCTCTTCCACTTCCATATAAGGTTGCCTTCACAGAAAATATAGACAAGAAGAATGAGAATAAGAGTGTTGCAGTGAATGATTTTCTGCCAGCTGCAGATGCAATTGCTGCCATCAAATATTCAATGTGAGATTCTAACTTTGTGATAATACAATACACGATTATGCAATGTCTTTAGTCTCCAACTCTCTGCCACTCCAATGTCCTTAGTACTTATTTCTTCTCACATTGGGCGTCAATAATGACTTGTGCTTGCTTGCTGTGTCCCAGGGATCTCTATGCATCGTACATTGTTGAGGGCTTGAGGCAGTAAGGCACACAAGAGTTACGGTTGTTATTGTTAACAGCATTAATGCTTCATAAGTAGAGGCTGAACACTGATGAATTGCATTCTAACTGGCGGCTTGTGTCTCCGTAGTTAAATGCTCCAAGTCTCTGGATATGATAACAATGATAAATAGATTGTGTTCATGTTTTATTTGACAGGCATGTAGCCAATCTGGAATTCTTAGTGCTGATTTTGAAATAAAATCTGGCACGCAGATCTTGATCTGTCGTACTCTATTTGTGTGTGCTTTACTTTTAGAAATCATTGCTCTTGAGAAAGAAGATGAGGCTTAGCCAATTAGGCTTGCAATGCCCTAATATACCTGTCTGAAATCGATTTTGACAGAACATATTAATTAGGATGGATGAACACAGAAATCCGCTTTTGTCCTCCACAAATGTCAGGGTTTAGTTACTGCTCGCATATTGTCATTGCTGCAATTTAAGCATATGGCTTTAACATCATAGCAAATGAGTAAATTTATGAGATTTCATTTGAAGGAACCAAGAAACTATCATGTACATGATGCATCATGCATGCGATTCGTTTATGAATTCTGTAACATACGAAGTAACTTGGTTGCTAATTAGCAGCTACTTCAATTGGTGGGTACTAGAAGGGAAAGCTTAATTGGGTTTTTACAAGCTTTATCAAGTTTTAGGTTCAAATCTGATGTTGGATGGGCGTACTTGTATTGAATGGATACATTTACAAATACAAAACTTTTGTTCAATTTATATGTTACTCCGTCTAAATCAAGCATGTTTGGTGGAGTTAGTGGAGAACTCATCCGGAGTAGGGGATATAATTTTTTATTTTATCTTACAAAAATGTAGTACTCCGCATAATTTTCAAAATCTAACAAATACGTGATAATTAAATCAAATATTCCAAATTTTGCAACATTTGTTGTGCAAAGCTATTGTTGTAATTGACTAATCTAAATTAACTTTGTAATTGAATATTTAGACAAAATAATAAAAAATGAAATGAAACAAACTCGCAAAAGGCACAACTAGAGTTTGGGGATCAGTCGTAAGTTTGCCCTTTTTATTTCTCTCTCCTCACTCTCAGTCACTTCTTCTCCATCTTCCCCAAATGCCCCACCCACTCTACTGATAAACCCTAATTTTTTCCCCTTTCATCAAATCCCTAAATCGACGAACAAATCAAATCGGAGTAAAACAAAAAGAAGAAAATGGGGACGCTAGGAAGAGCTATTTACACCGTCGGATTTTGGATCAGAGAGACTGGTCAAGCCATGGATCGTCTCGGATGTCGTCTTCAAGGAAACTACTACTTCCAGGAACAACGTAAGCGTCATTTGTTTCTCTGCATTTTGATTATTAGATCTATTGTCATTTTCAATTTTATCAGCCATTTTTCTTAGGTTTTTTGGATCAAATTCTTTACATTCGTGGAAATGGTGAATGAGTTTGACTATGTTTTGAATTTATGTTTCATATTATAAATTGGGGAAAGAGCTGTTGTTTTTATATGGAACATATATGATTGAAGAAATTCTGGTGGATAGAACTTTGTTGTGGGGTAGCTGTTTTGAGTAATTGTAAGAAACTGGGTCTAATTTGCAATTGGGGCTTTATTATGAAATGCCGAAACTTGTTGATCATTTAGGATGTATTTACTTGTACAATGATTCACTTGAGGTTTAATTCGAATTGCTAGCCTATTATGACTGTGTAGGATTTTGGTTGTTGAACTCTGGCACCTGTGAAAATGTGATCATATTTTGGTGGCTGTCGAGCTGCTAATATTGTACGGTGATGGCGGTGTGTTTGATTGAGGTCTGGGTTCCCTTTTATTCTTTGAAAGTTTGAAGGTAGAAATGGGAGTGATATGTTTTCAGCTGAATAGTGTGATGATTTGGGTTTTGGACCAATGCTTTAAGGTTTTAGAGAAATGTTTGGGTGAATCTCACTAGGGGATTCTGTAAGGAGTTTTGTCTAACAGTTGTTATTTTGATAAGGTATGTTATATGTGGGAGTTTTGCTGGAAGTTCTACATTCAAATTCAAGGGCATGGCATTGCTGGCGATATTGGATGGGGTTGAATTGAGTTTCTGATAGTTCTAGTGTTTTCCAGGGATTTCTCGACTTTTATCTTAAACTTGGTCTCCTGGCCTAGTATAATGATTGATTTCATCGAAGAGGCCTGACCAATGACTATGAGACTATCACCTTTTTCTTAAAAGAGAAAGTTACTTTTCGTAATTTCTTTGATTAATAGGAATTTGGAAAACGTTGCTTGATTGACAGAGAATTAAGTAGAACATAGTAGTGATTGTGTGATATACTGCTGGGAGCTGCAGAAATTTCTTTTTGAAGCGTTTGCTAGAGTAAGATCATAATCTCTCATTTGCATGAAGCTGAAAGCTGATCTGTGTTATATATGTTTTTGCCAGACGTTGTGGAACTCCACATGCATATATGCTATAATGCTATAAAATTAATTGGCAATATCTCACAGTAAAAGATATTCACCGTCAATTGTTCATATATGCTTACTTATCTTATAATATGATGCCTCTAATGTTTGGTCCTAATATTCTCATATGTGTCTTATATTTTTATGTTGTTTCTCTTTCTTTTTCTAAGTGTCTCGGCATCGGACCCTCATGAACATTTTTGACAAGAAGCCCATTGTTGACAAGGAAGCATTCGTGGCACCAAGTGCATCTGTTATTGGTGATGTGCAGATAGGACATGGTTCTTCCATTTGGTATGGCTGTGTCTTAAGAGGTAAGGTGTTTACATTTTCCCTCCTTTCCCAACCTTGTATGATAGTTTGTTTTGCTTCAGATTCACATAAACAAGAATCATGTGTTTGTTGGTAAAAGTTATGATCTTTATTATACCACTTCCGTCTCAAATTGATACGTCACATTTACTTTAGTTGCCAAAGCTTGTTAACTTTGATCTATAATCTGCCTGATTTTGTATTGATTTATTTGCGTAAATATTGTTTTTAGAAATATCACTTTCATAAGCTATTTAATAGTTTTACATTTACATTCTGATTAAATAATACTTGTCAAAGTTGAAGAGATTTGATCATAAAGAAAAATGTGATCTAATATTTCTCAAACAGATAGAATTTCAAATATTAACTTTTAGTTACTGAATTTTTACTTCTCAAACATTTGGGCTTCATGCACTATTACTAAGTATTATTAAACAACCGTTAAAAAAAAAAAAAGTATTATTAAACAATAGCAGCAGGATCTAGGATGCATGAGCTCTTTTCATAAGTAGCTTTAAACAGAGTTACAGACAGCAGGATTAATGAAGCAGCACGAGGCAGGATTTTTATGTCTCTAGTGCTTTAATAACTAAAATCTTACCATCTGCTTTGCCTGGACTTTAGTTCTTTTTAAGGCCTGTGATTCATACGATGCACACCATTGGGTGTTCAGTGATCATTGTAGCTTAATTGAGAAAGAAGTTATAAATCTTTTGTTGCTGAAAATGATGCATTGTTGTTAAAAATTTGTGATACTTTGCTAATTTTTTCGAAACATGATTGTAGTTTGATATTCTTTTAGTGAATGACAATATTATTTTGATTGTAAAATTGTGCGCCTGACTTAGCCTAGGCGTGAATCTTTATCTTTCTCCTCATGCATTTCCTTTCCTCACCTTTTAAATCTTTAACAGAAATAGCCTCTCTGATACTGCATTATTGTTTTAGCTTTCTAAGTTCTAACCACTGCCGTAAAGTAAATGGTAGCTTCATAAGAGGCATTTGAATAATTTTATGAATATATGATATGATTGGCAATTTGGCACTTATGTCATATTTGCTTTTTGTCTATTTCTACTGTTAGCCTCTGTTTTGATTTTAAATAAGCACTTATGCACTTTTGGCTGCTGCTGGCTATGCTCCTTAAATTATGTTCTGCTGCTTAATTTGGCCTTAATACATCTTATGCAGGTGATGTGAACAACATTAGCATTGGATCTGGGACCAACATTCAAGACAATTCTCTTGTTCATGTTGCAAAAACAAACTTAGCTGGGAAGGTATTGCCGACCATTATTGGTGATAATGTTACTGTAGGTGAGTTACAGAAGATAAACAAACTACTATACTTTTTTTTCCTGTATGTAACAAAATTGTGTGACCTTTGATATGCATTGAGCAGGTCATAGTGCTATCTTACATGGATGTACTGTTGATGATGAGGCATTTGTGGGCATGGGTGCTACTTTACTTGATGGGGTGGTTGTTGAAAAACACGCCATGGTTGCAGCTGGAGCTCTTGTAAGACAGAATACTAGAATTCCCTCTGGGCAGGTAGTGACTTGCTCCCTTTCTACTGCTTAGCTCCCTTTCTACTGCTTAGCTAGTTCTGTTTTCGTTATTCGAACTGATAGGTCTGAACCATTCTGTACCTTCTCAGAAGTTAATGCACGGATTGCTAGAAATCTTTTCACTGTTTTGTTGTGAGAAAACCATGATGATCAAGGATCACGAGTGGTGGTTTTGATAATTGATAATCAATGAATGGCAAGTGCAAAGTAGGTGTTTGGGTAGGAATTCAGATGGACTGGATTTGTGAAGTGTTTTTAAAGAATAAAAAGGTCCTTTATCTTTTGAAATATGGGCAGAGTAGAAGTTTTAGATTCGATAGAGCATTTCATTGATGAATAATTTGTTTTGAACATTTCTGTTATATTTCCATTTAATTAGTATTTTCATTTTTACATTATGATCTGGTTTTCTATTTTAGTTTTAAGCAAATTAATCCATACTCAAGACTTTTGTGTTATTGAGACCCTCCAATGCATGAGATTTGCCTGAGCAGCTTGCTAAAAACATGTGAGTCTAGTGATTAATGTGGTGTGGTATCACATGTATCATTGGTGTAATTGAAGTGGAAATCGAATCTTAAGTTGTTGCATGCCTACCACTTAATATTAGGATTTTGGGCCTTCTACCTCCACCTGTTAAAATTATTTGGGGCATGCCATCAAGCAGAAAGGTTGGTCTCAGTTTTTGAGTCACCTTGTCTTATGTGTTTAAGGGCTTTATGTTAAAAATCCAATTAGTGTGCTTGTTCCATTTGTTCTATAAATCGTAGTAGTTATTTTGGTCTGGCCAGTGTCCTATCTGGTTATTTTTGCCCGTAGGTATTCTGTCTCTGATTCAATTTGTAGCATTTTTCAATAACTTGACTAATAAATTGATGTTTTCATCTGAGAAATGCTTGGTGAGA